TATTAAAAGTTTAAGCCCTTGATTGAAATGATTAAGAAATCATAAGGACTTGAATTGAATTTTGAATAAGCCTAGATAAGGGCCAAATTGATAGAAATTATGAAGTTATGGACTAAAATTGTATGATCAAATTGTAAGGATTGAAAGTTTAGGGACTAAAATGTAAATTGTTAATCTTGTGAGGGACCTATTAGTTGAATTTAAAGGACAATTATAGGTAGATTAATCTAGAATTTTCAAAAAGAGAGAGGGAGAGAAAGTCAATGGTGGGAGAGGAGAGAAAGAAGAGAAAAATCTAGGTCAAAAAGGGAGGAAGAAAGGAGGAAAAAGAAAAAAAAATCAAGGGGCACTTAATGAACCACCTTGAGATCAATCCAAATGTGTCACACTTGGCTTGATCTTGAGGTAAAAACCTAACTAATATTATGGAGAAGGAAGAAGATAGAACGAGTTACTCCATTAAGCTTCCAAGCAACTCTTAAGAGAGAGATTCCAACAATCTAAATCACCACTCCAAACTACTCTAATTAGTTCAAAACACTTTAAAATAGCCTCAAACCTACTTGGAGTATCAAGCAAGGAGAGGGAAGAATCATCCACTTTGGTCGAAATTCTTATTGGGAGGAAGAGGAAGAGATTAAAGGAGGAAAAAAAGAGAATTGGTCAAACTATAAATGAAGTAAGTGTAACTCTTTACCTACACTATAAGAAATTAAAGTTTTGAAGAGTGATTAAGTGTTAATTTATGGTTTACTTGATGAAAGGTTAATGAATATATTGTTGAGAATTATGTGATGATGATTAAATTGGATTGGTTTGGTGATGCTTATATGTTTATTATGTGAGGATAGTGACATTTAATTGTTTGAATGAAATGAATTCATGTGTTTAAATGTTGTCTTTATTCCAAGAACAAGGAGGATGAGCAATCCTTAAGTATGTATAAATTGGTAGTTACTTTACCTTATGCTTACCAAATATTTGATGAAATATCTTAGAGGTATTTATGAGACTAGATTGGAAGAATGGAAGTTTTCCTTCACTTGGCCTAAATTCGACTAAGTATGAAAAACAAGGATAAAGAGACAATTGTCAAATATGAGGTTTAGAGGTATAAAAGGAATAAAAATGGTCATGTACATATGGAAAATGATTTTTTGTGATGTTTTTTTATGATTGGTCATGATATGATGTTTATCATGTTGATTGATTGTGCATGATGTGTTTTCAAGTTGCATGTATACTTGATTGTTTAGAATATGTAATTGATTTGTTATAGTTATACAAGTTCTTGAGGATGTAATGGTATGCATGTTGAGGTTATGTTTATTGTAATACATTTTATTTAAATATATATGAACATGTACATCATAATCATGAAAGAGGATTTTACATTTCATGATATTGATGGAAAGGAAAAGGAAAAGGTTTTCAAAGGAAATGGCTTAGTATCTTCTTAGAGAAATGGACATGGTTTGTATGTTGAGGTTTATGGGAAAGGGACGACCCCTTCTTTCTTAAGGATTTATGATAAATGAGGGTGACCTTTCTTGAGGTTTATGGGAGAGGGACGATCCCTTCTTCCTCGAGGATTTATGAAAAAAGAAAGGGTGATTTCTCTTGAGGATTATGGGAGAGGATTGATCACCCTCTCTTGAGGATATGGACACACTTTGTGTGTCGAGGATTATGGGAAGGTACATAGTTCTTTTTTGTGATTTTCACAAATTACATGTTGTTACAAAGGTCGGTTATATACACAATCGGTAGGGCGTATGTCCAAAAAGGAAAATGAATTTCAAAAAGAAATGAAAATATCTTCATAAAAGTTACATCATGTGTATCACCTATATTGCATGGATTATACTTACCGAATATTGCATTGCTCTTTTTTGTTCCTTATGGTGTAGGAGAAGATGAAGTTAAATGAGGAATCGTTGTCGAGACATGAAAAAGACTTGCCTATTGTGTGCTTAGGGCCAATGAGTATGAGATTTATACTTAGCTTAACTTGATTTTTGGTATATGTATAGTAAGTTAGGCAATTTTGACATGTATCTAAATTAATTAATCAAATTTTGTTTTGTATTAATTAAAATGTGATTTGAATGTAAAACTAATGTTATGCTAAAACTTGTTAGTCGTAGGACTTGGTTGCTTAATATGGCTAATGTGGCTAAGATGACGTAATTGATTGGATTATGGAAATAATTGCAATTGAAAATAAAAAGTAAAGAGTTAGGAAAAATACTAAGGTTAAGACTAAAAGAAAACTTAATAGCTAAATTATTAGTGAAGGTTTAAATGAAATTACGTAAAGTTTTGATAAATTCAAGGAAAAAATCACACCTAAGCTATTTTAAGTGGATCTAGTATCTCATACTCATTTATACAAATTTCCCACTTTGCCAATAAATTAAGAATGTTAAAGAAAAGAGTCTTCTTGATTTGTATTCATTGCTCTTCGAATATAAGTCAATATTGATAATATCCACGACCTATTTAGGTCTTAAATCAAGAGTGTTATAAGTGGTTCTTCTTCGGTTGCTTTTCTTTTCCATTTTATTTTGTTCGCTTCCTCTTGGGCCCTAAAATGCCTATCAAATCCTGCAAAATTGGCAAATTGGCAGCATATTTAACTACACATTCCCATGTCTTTATCTTTCCTCACCCTTATATGCCGTCCTCTTCCTAATTTTTTTATACACACTATTTCTTTTATTTTTCCCTTTTGTCTCATTGGTTTCTCATTCCCTCTCATTGTTTATGATGTTCTTGCCTTCTGTTTATTGACTTTCTTTTAGAAACGATTATCTCGAATCTCTTTTTCTCTTCTTTGCATAATTTACGAGTTAGGCACTTTTGTTTCTTTTCTTGTAGTTTTAAAATGCCCCGCCTCCTCTCGCATTTGCATTTTTTTTCTTTCTTTCTCTTATTTAATTGTTGTTTCATGTTTCTTTTTGTAGCCATGCGTGTCTTCTCCTTCGTTGTTCGTTGTTGTGACTCTTTTTTATTCTTAACTTAGAGAAATTTGGTCTTCCCTCCAAAAAGGTATGCGTTTTCTTTTAATTTTATGAATTGTCTTTCTTCCTATCCCGATTAATTGGTTGTGTGTGTTGGTTGTGACATGGATTGATTTTTGGCTATAGTCCTTATGCATTCATTTGTCTTCACCTCTTATGTCTTCTTTTTAAATGTTCCTCTTCTAGATTATGAACTATTGAAACATTAAGTTTTGTTGTGGTCTTTGTGTTGTTTTTCCCATTTTTTTTAGTTTTATCGCTCCCGCTTTCCTATAATACGATGCTTTGTCTTATGCTATTTTTGATTAAATTTAATTTTTGTTTCTTCTAGGATACGAATGCATTCTTACCTCCGATGTTTTTTTTTCCTTTTCCTCTCTTATTTCATTGCCCTTTGTTTGTTCTTTTATAGTTATAGTTGTTCGATGCTAATACAGCTATTGCTTATATCCTCTGTTTGAGTTTGCCAAAATAAAGATTCTAGAATTCATTTATTTTCTCTTATTATGTGTATTTTATGGTTGTCATGTTCTTTCTTTATTATTTGTTGGTTACAATTACTCTATCGTGCTAGTGCCAACTATCATTGTAGTATTTTTATCTCTCGACAATGCTTGGTTTGGTTTTCTTTTTTGTTCTTCTTTTGGCTTCTATTGACAACCATTTTTTTTTTTTTTTTTGTGTCCGATGGTGTTTGGAGGTCATTTTGTTGAACTAGGGCCCTTGATCGTTTATTCTATTCCAAAACAAACTTTATAGTCATTTGATATAAATGAAAATTACCTATAATTTAGGTTATGAATCTTCAATTTTATCCCTAATTATATTATATAACCATGAGTGATTTTATAATATTTGTGGTTATTTTGTATATTTTAGTCTTCTATGTTGTTTTCATGATTTTGTAGGAAGAAAAGAGCGTAACTAGATAGAGAAAGACGACAAAGATAATTTCTTAACATATGAAAGAAAACCCACGTCACAAAAATAAAAGCTAAGGTTTGAGATCAACTTTTGGGAATAAGCTCTTAGCTAAATTTGGTGGATTCTTTTGGGTGATCAAAAGCTGCAACTTTTGAAGAAAGGGAAGATTCAATTTTCACATTTATTCGAAAGTGGGGTATTTCGTATTTTCATCTTTTGTAATTGAATTTTGAATTATGTTTAAATTGACATTTGAGATGTATTTTTAGCTAATCACAAACTAAATTTTTAGCGATTAAGGCCATGTAAGGTTGAACTTATGTTAGTGCTTATTTTGATTATTTAATGCATAATTGAATAATTTTGGTCTATTTTGGTTGATTAATATTGCCCATAATGCTTGCGAATGCTCGATTAATATTTACATAATTTATTACTTAATCTTAAGATTGGGAGGAGACAGATTAAGGATACCATAGTATCTTTCACCATGAGATTAAACCGACTAGAGACAATATTCGATTGACCGTGCAGCTTTAGCGATAAAATTGATAGAATTTCATTATAAGGTAGGAATTTCACAAATTGATAATGTATCCTCGTTTAATTAAATTCTTATAAAGATACGAGAGGGTTGTGAATTGAGAATAAAATTACTATACCTAGAGATAGGATAACAAATATTTTTGTGAATTTCAACATGATTTTAGAAAAGAAGAGTTTCGTTTTCTACAAGGCTCGTGGTCCTAATGGAGTCAGCATCAATTGGGTCATGCATGAGTACAACTTAACTTTTAAGTTCCATAACCAAGTAGTGCTCCTTTACAAACTAATTTTCTAAAATTTCTTTCTTTTTTTTCCTCTCTTTTTTATGAACGACTTATTAAGATACGCTCTTTCTAGATTTTACAAGCTGCATTTGGTTCTCCAGTTTACTCTTATTTATTAGACATTGAAACACCACCACCAACTCTTTTTTTTTTTTTTTTGTCAACTTTGTGTAGAGAGACTTTGTTCTCTCGAAATTGAAGAAAATCCAGGTGACATGCCAACATGGGTGGAACCATGTGGATACACAATCCTAGAACTCACAAGATGGACAAATTCTTGAATGATGAGGAGTGGGTTGGAGAGCTAACAAAATGTAAGGTTTTGATTTTTTATATATTATTATTATTATTATTATTAATTGGATGTTTTTGTTTTTGTTTTTGTTTTTTTTTTTTTTGTCTTAATGTGGAAATTATTGGTTTTCTGGTATTTAAAGCAAAGTTATTTGGATAGAATTACTTAATGCACAGTTTAGGAAAAATTTCTAATATTTTCATCGAGGCTGATTTCATTTTGGATTTGAACGAGGACGAGTTGATTTTTTGCCAGAAACTGGCTTTTAATTGCTTTCTTATTTTACGTGATATATTGATTTGTTATTGATCAAAGAAAAGAATCTCTTTATTTACAATTCTAGACGAAGAAGGTGAAGTAACTGTAAACAAACTCATTGACACCTTTTGTTACCGAAACTTAGCTTGTTGATTTTTAAAACAATTGTTGGCGTAGTTGCTTGAATTTGTCCTCCTTGTGCCTATGCTTCATGGCATTCGAATCTTGGTTTGCATTAGTTAGAATGATAGAATGATGCCATTATGCAGTTGATTGGTGAAATAATGCGAGGTATAATAAAGCTACCATGTTTTTCTCACAAGAGTGAGATTTTTATGCTATAGCTTATTTATGTTCCAACAAAACTTTTAATTTTGAAATATGTTTTTTTTTTTTTTTTGTACAGTAGGATTGGTTGTTAGATTTATTTTATATCTTTGGGATGAGGTTTTCTGTCCTGTAAAATTGGTTTAAAACTTTCATTTGTAACGTAATAGATATATTCTTTTTTTAAGCACGTTCCTTTGCTAACCTGGGAATTTAAAACTTTTCTAATCTTCATTTTTGGCAACAGTTGCATAAATTTGAACCCTATGTTTTTTTATTTAGTGATTTTTTTAGGTGATTCAAGTACTTCCAACGTGGCAGAGATGAGACGTAGCACGAATTTCATGCAGTTTTTAACTGCTAGTTTTTACATGTAAGCAGATCAAGAACTTACATTTACCTGTACATGAAGATTATGATCAACTACGAGCACAACTTGAGTCATTCGATGGAATTGACGAGGGAGATTATAACTTGAACTCTGCCTTGTAATTTTCAAATGGGGACATGTATTGTTGCCAACTCTATGTCCCGAGTTCCTATTATATCATTTGTTGATCGTTCGCACAGTCCGTAGAACTAATGAATATCCGTTCTGAATACTTTATCTATGAAGTAAATTGTGAAGCCAAGTACTGGATATGGTCACCCTCATGTTGTGTGAAAAAGTACTACTTATTTCTTATTTCTCAGCTTGGATTTTTCAACTGATTATGTGTACGTTGTTTTGGATTTAAATAGAAACTGAAAAGTTCACGTCTTTGTGCAAACAAAGGTCAAGATTTCTGCCATAAAAAAGAAAATGTACTTGGTTCTCTTTTAAGATTGTTTCCAGCATTCTTAACACTTGATCCAGGTTTATTCTGCATATATTATGTATATATTTACTTCGTTCCACCACTAGCCTTCCTGCAATTATTTATATGCATTTTGAACATAGTCATCCAATTATCATTGCCAAATAAATCTCTCCTTTGCACTTATCATAAAACTTAGCACAGGGTAAACCACAATGTATAGGTAAAATATTATTAAACAAATAAATTAAAAAACAAATTTCTTGCTAGCATAGTTCACTAGTTCCAACACTTAAAAAAAAATAAAAAAAAATCAAATGTCTGAAACATATAATGTTGCTCCACCCCATAGCGTAGCAGTGGAAATGTACCTAGTAAAATCTAAATATGATAGGGATGGACACTATTCCTTCTTATTATAGCACTGTGAGGGTAAGAGTTTTTCTTGAAGGAAATATAAATAACTAGTGCTTAAACATATTAAGAGATATTTTAGAGGTCAATTTGTTTTTTTTTTTTAAGAATTAAACAAAATGCATCATTTTTTTTTAAGTGGAAGTGGGAATTTTTCCATCTTTTTGAGGTTAATGTTTTTTTTTTTTTTGAACATACAATGATGGCTTTTACTTGTTTTCTGGGTCGAATTGACTTTAGGAAACCCGGGACCAAATATATCTATCATATTGATAACTTGGAATAAAATTTTTTATCATGGAGACTCGAAGAGGATAGATGTCAATTACGAATAATAATTTAATCTAAATTTGATGGACATTTATATTAACCGATCCGAATCCATATGCAAAATCTTTATCCGATGGATAATGGATAAGATATAGATACCAACTTAAAAACTCGTTCCGAAACATAACATAAGAACTTAACTCACGAACCTTGACGAATCAAATATGAATATTTAAAGTTTTAGTTCGATGAATAGTAAATATGATATGAATATACTAAAAACCCTACAACACTAACGCACTCTATCTATGTATTGAGAATCATTGACTTATCATTTTCACAAAAAAAAAAAAAAAAATCATCAGTCCATCACATCTTTGATTTGGATACACAATATTTACAATAAGGCAGATTCGAGCCTAAAAGTCATGGCTCAAAACAATTTATATGTATACGATGAACCGAGATGAAGCTCTAATCATGTATCCGATCATATGTTTTCAAGTGTGTTTTATAACGAGATTGGATTTTATGCTTATGGAGATTTTGTATAATTTGGATTTTTTTGATTGAGATATTAGATCTTTTTCTATCCAATTTAAGAATTTTACTCTTATATTGTTGTTGTTTCGGACCTTAACCATTCACATCTTGCCATGCCACTAATTCAATCACCTAATTTATATCCACCATGACACGTGACAAGTTTGGTAAGTTATCATTGTCTAAAACTTATCACGCGTGCTTATGTAACACATTAGGATTTGAAACAACAACATAAGAATAAAACTCTTAAATTGGATAGAAAAAAACTTAGGATTTCATAAAAAAATTCGAATTATAAAGAATTTTGTTGTATCCAAAATCATAACCAGATTAACCCCACATGATGAGTTATTTTTCTTTGAAAATAATCAATATGATTATATCGAATTCTCTTAATTTGACAAGACATGAAAGTAAAATGTTTCAAGCTGTCTGGACTCAAGTGTCAAAAGAATGAAAATTGTCCAATTGCTGCGTGGAGGAGGAAGAATTAGAGGTCAGCAGTATATGCCAGGAGTTTCAACAAGGCATACAAGCCCAGGTCACAAGGCCAAGCTTCTTTTAATTGGGCTTCAAATAGGTTCCATAATTTTCCCGAGCTGGAGGCTCTTTTATTTTCAAAACAAACTTTGGGCCTGTAACATTCATTTCATGGATTTAATTAAAGTCTATACTAGTATATAGGCGTAAATTCTTCTTATTTCTTTTTTTTTTTTTGAAAAAAAAAAAACTCACTCATCAGATGTTCTCATTTCCGTTTGTGTGCCTATTCAAATTAAAATTCAATTCCTAATTTGGTAAAAAAAAACCCCTTCTGGATTGATTGATTACTAGAAAACACATTATAATGATGAAGTTATTAAATTGAACACACTTATAAATCAATCCTCTATGTCGATTTCTCATTTGATTCAGCATTTATACACCTGCTGAAATTAGTGTTAGCTTACCTGTCCTAGGTTTTCGTCAAAATAATTAAGTACCCATGATAGTGATATATATATATATATATAAAGAAAAAAACATCAGCACTCATAATGGGGCATGCTAGAGCCGGTTATATTCAAGGTAAACCCGTTGCATATTAGCTGCTTGCATCTGGATGGATGGGCCTCGCAGTCGAACTATCATGGTCTTTTTTCAAGTGTTTTTGCTCTATGAACGTAATAGAGTAAATATGAGCCTAATTTATGACATCTAATTTTGTTTCCCTACATTAGTATATAATTCATGTTTTTTTTTCCTTTTGTTATATGTTGTCCAATATCCTGGAAACTTATGGACAGAATGACTAATTTGAGATCAATGTTTAGATTAACATAAAATAAGGTAATTGTAACAAGTAGGGTGTAAGAAGTTGCGATCTTTTTTCCTTTTGTCAAAGTTTCTATATGCAAGAGCACCAAATCGTTTTCTTATTAAATTATATATTGTCAAATAAACTTTAAGTCAATGGCGTGGTCATGTATGCTCCAATTCAATTTAGTCGACACATTCAATTGATCAAATCCAACGCTACAGTAAAGCCGCCGGGCCAAAGTTTCTTGCTTAAAGTCAAGACCATACTCTATAGGTATGGAGCAGTTGCTACTAGTTTGTACACAATCATAAAAACTGCAACTAGTAAGTAGAAAATCATAAACAGGAAAGGAGCCGCCGGTGGCATTAATGACTAGTAGCCAAGAACATGTATTGTAATCACAACAAATTAGTCACCAAGGATGATGACATGACGTCTAGATGAATCCTCGCTGAATGCTATAGGCATCGTTGGAATATTCTGCGTTTTAAAAGCTCCACCATCAACATTAAGCCCAAAATTTCAAAGGGGAAAAAGAAAAAAGGATGAAAGATAGTGGGGATCTATAATTCTTAGCATTATCCTAACAGAAGAAAATAGTATCCGAGTACTTTACAAATGACTCAATGCTTGATTTATCCATCAATGGTCTTAGCAAGCTACTTGAATTTTAAGAAAAGGAAGCTCATCATGCATGGGACATGCCGAGGATGTGGAAAATTGCCAATTAAGAGACGTGGGGCTTTGTTTGTGGACAGCTGCACTAAGTTTGATTGGTATATGGTTGCTACGTATTTTACAAGAAGCCTCAGTTTGTCAAGGAAAAAAAAATGGGGAAAGGATCGAATTGACTAAACCAATATGGTCTTGTATGTAGGTAGGAGTTAGGGAGATTTCCATTCAATGGCCACGGAGAAGATATTTGCATTTGTGGACCGGGAGGGAGGGCTCCTTGAGGTTTCCATTATGATTGCTCATCGAAGCTATTTATCCTTTTAATTATCATCTAAAATTTCTCAAGAATTACGTACCTTATAACTTAGTAACTTTTAAATATAAATATATTTATAACAGTGGGATAAGCTAGTTTAATTGATAAAAGTACCTGACAGTATTGCCCTAAACAATCTAAAATCAAATCCCCTTTACATGTGAGATTTTGAGGAATAAATTAAGGTGGAGGACTATTAATTATTCATCTCTCGTAACGAACGAAAGAGAGAAAATCTCTACAACATATATATATATATATATATATATATATAGTATATGGGTCATTTTGTTAGCATCAAGTTGAAGTTCTTTTTACTTGGATAAAAAGAAAGATGAATTTCTTTTTTACTTGGATTTTAAGTTGTGCAAATCCATGTTTGAATTAATTGGAGTATTTATGAGAAATTTTCTTTATAACAACCTGTATTGAAGCTGGTATGACATGAGGAAAAAAAGTCTTTTGAATTTCCTAAAATTATATTAATAATTAAATGTGAATGCCTAAGCTTCTAAAATTACTTAATTATTTTTGCTACCTTTCGAGTCCAATGAAATGAAAAAGGGATATATATATAAAAAGGGCTCATTGTATTTTTATCACATAATAATAAAGTGGAGACTAAATATTATATAGGTCCCAAAACTCAGACATTAAATTCTAACCACACACACATACATGGTATGGGAACAACCAGAAATGATATACCCTAATGTCAATTCATGATTATAAAATACTTCCATATATTTAAGTTTTTAGTATAAAGTAATCCAGATATTATTTTAAACCTTATCCTTTTTTTTTCTAGATATTACATTGTCATTTAGCTTCCATACGCGGGCAAGAATTTTCTAACGTACAAAACTTAAAAAGATAGACATCTCATGAATCTAACCCAACGTGACTTAAAAAAAGAGGGAGACGTTTTTGAAAGTGAACTAAGCAGTAAGCACTATAAGAATGCGGAGAATATAGGCTGCCATCGACCTTTGTATTATTATTAATTTCTTTTTCAATTTATAATGGCAATTTGGACATTATCTATCTATCTATCTATATATATATATATATATATGGTCAATTAGTACTAAATCACTCCCTATATAAAGAGCTGAAACGGTGGTAATGAAACACATCGATCACGCATTCTCTAAAACGAATTGCTCCATTCTAATTTTCTATGGCTAGCTTTTCTTCAAGAAGTAGGACCAGTTCCTTAACGGCTGCCATGCTCCTCCTCCTAGGAGCACTCTTCATGGAAAACCTTCATAAAACAGGTCTGTGAGCGCTTATGCATGCTTCATTAATTATGTATTTCACTTGCTAAAGTTCGATTATGTTAGGATGATTTAAATTTACCATCCACAATACGAAAGGATACATTTGACCAATTATAGGGCTTGTGTATATATGATCAAGTCTTCACGCGCATCGTGTTACTAGCTAAGCCAAGGGGTTGGTGGCAGGCATGCCTCGAAACCCTAGCTAGCTACTTATGCACTTTAATTAGAGAAACTCTATTTCCACCATAGCTTAGTGTGAACTTCACAGCTAGCGGGACAAGCGCCACACAGATTATTTATCTGGAATTTATAAATGCTATATATAAATATATTGTGCTTCTAAAAATATCTTGGATTTCGTAAATTGGTTATAAATTAAAAATAATCCTTTTTTTTCCCTCCAAGTAGAAATTAATTTCATACGCCATTATGACGCACAAAAAATTAAAGGGTATTATTTTTTTCTTGATTTATCTACAGCTAAAAGAAATTAGTTTTTAGAGTTTATGACTACTGATTAAGCAGGCTTCAAGCTGTTTGAAAAAGTACTCACCTGTATGTAAGTTGAGCTTCCACGTCTGAATGGCCAAAAGACTTCTTTTCCCTTTGTGCACCAGCCAGTTAATTCATTACGATCAGAAGAGAGCTTTATAAGCAGGAGCCGCCTTGCTCCAAAGATATATTAGTGTATTAATTGTAGAGTAATTAAAAAATAACTACTAATTATTTACTTCAAAAGAGATAAATAAATACAATGACAAAAGAAAAACATGATAATAGTTTAAAAAATATTTTGAGTTTTGATGGAGATATTTGTATATTTTTAGTGGATTCAGATGTGATTATATATATATATTTTTTATCTTACCCATTGCTCACTCATATAGTACACATGAATCCAAAGATGGGTTCACAATTTTTTTTTTTTCCCGTAGAGATGGGATGAATATTTAACGGCCATGGTTTTCTTGAAGTCTATTCATATATTTCACTTTTTCTCGCACCGGATAGCATTTCCAATATCTTTGGCTCACCAAAATTTTTGTATGTCAGGTGCTGAAGTAGGAGTTTGCTATGGAATGATGGGCAACAACCTTCCTCCTGCCTCAGAGGTTATAGCTCTCTACAAACAATACAACATTAAGCGAATGAGACTCTACGATCCAAATCAGGCTGCTCTAAATGCCCTCAGAGGTTCAGGCATTGAAGTTATGCTAGGCGTCCCAAATTCAGATCTTCAAAGCCTCGCCAACCCTTCCAATGCAAATTCGTGGGTACAAAGAAATGTACTCAACTTCTGGCCAAGTGTCAGGTTCAGGTACATAGCTGTTGGCAATGAAATTAGTCCTGTTAATGGAGGCACATCCTGGATGGCTCCATTTGTTTTGCCTGCCTTAGTAAATGTATTCAATGCTGTAAGAGCAGCAGGCCTTCAGGACCAAGTCAAGGTCTCAATTGCAATTGACATGACCCTGATAGGAACTTCCTATCCTCCCTCGGCAGGTGCTTTCAGAGGTGACGTTATATCATACTTAGCCCCAATTGTGGGACACCTAGCATACGCAAAGACGCCTTTATTTGCTAATATTTACACTTATTTTAGCTATTCTGGTAATCCGCAAGAGATTTCCCTTCCCTATTCGCTGTTTACTTCACCATCGGTAGTTGTATGGGACAATGGTCGCGGTTATCAGAATCTTTTTGATGCAATGTTGGATTCCTTGTACTCTGCCCTCGAGAGACTCGGAGGAGGTAACACTTTGGATGTTGTTGTGTCCGAGAGTGGATGGCCATCGGCAGGAGGATTCGCAACAACGTTTGATAACGCAGCTACTTATCTCTCAAATTTGATTAAGCACGTGAATGGAGGTACACCGAAGAGGCCTGGCAGAGCTATAGAGACTTACCTATTCGCCATGTTCGATGAAAATCAGAAGCAACCAGAGTTGGAGAAACACTTTGGTGCATTCTACCCAAATAAACAGCCTAAATATAATCTCAATTTCGGTGGACAAAGAAACTGGGACATTTCTGCGGAATATAATGCCACAGTTTCGCTTAAGAGTGATATGTAAGATTCTCATTTCTCATGAGAATCTAATTAAAATTAAGTCTTTTCAGCTTTCTGTATGTACCTTTGTTTCCTTCTTTTTCTGAGAGAGAAAATTTCAGTGTAATAATTCTCATCTTACGTAAAAGAATGCCATGTTTGGTTTCCTTTAAAAGGGCAGCAAAGTTTTATCAGAATAAAACTGGATACAAAGGCAATACCTTATTGAGATTGAAGTACTTGTAGTTTCTCAGAATTGGTGCACGGACCTGTTATGGCAGGATCTGATCCTTGTCTCTTTCCATATTTCTTCAGTCCCTTCGAGGGAGTTTCTTTTCTTGTCTTTTGATTTTTCTGGGTTTTGCGAGGTTTAATGACCAGGGCTCAGGTGACATTCTTGACCAGAGATGGAAATTTGAATCTAATTAAGCACTCGAGCCTCAGTCATGACTCATGAGCCATTAGTGACTTAGTGCACTGTTTTGTTGGAAGGCAAATTAGCTTTTTGGGTCCTTGTAACCTCAAAGCCCAGGCTGTCTGGTTTGAAGGCCCTAAAGGCTTAAAGTGCTGGTGCACTTCTCAGTGGGTCTATTTAGTGTCGATCCAGAGTTTCGAACAATCCTTAACTTCAGCCGTCTCCTGTATGGTAACAAAAAGACAGGACAGGGAGACAAAGAGAATTGAAAACATAATTGATTTTTTTGGACAATAACTTTTGAGTTTTGACAGTTAAAGGACTATCAATGGTGATGATTGTATGACGTACGCATGCATACCGCAAGATGAAATGTTTATTTAGAATGCCGATAAACAACGTTATAAAATTGCCAAGTAGAATTAGCATGTTGGTGGTTTATCATTTCAAGTAATGTTAAAAATGATGTTAAATTGCTCTGTCGTGCTCGTAATAGAAGGTACACCATTAGCTAAAATGTGATGGCATATTGGCATGCATGCCCTTCCATTTGAGGTGCCATTAAACGAAAAACTTCCCAATCATAAACGTGATCTATCATATCAAAACAATTTTATTGATTAGTACAGCTTTCACTGATCAAATAAATTAAAATATTATTCATAATATTAAAATTTATTACGTTTTATCCGATAAATGTATGGTTCAAATGTAATTAAATAATCAATTTTAAACTCGATATAAGATGTATTAAATTTTGTTATACAAATTTAACTTGATGAAAGAAGCTTTGAATATATATGGTAAAGTTATTATGAATAATTTTAGATTTGATGGTTTTATCTCCCTAAAAAAAAAACGTTAACGTGTTACAATTAATTAATGCATTAAAATTAGGAAAAAAGTGTCAAATTGAATAACTATTCATTTCCTTCCAAATTCTTGGATAGCATTGACAAATGGAGATTGGTATTTTATCTAACCAGCAAGATTTTGACTTGGTTTCTATTTGTTATTTGTAATGTGATTTGTAGGAGTATATGATAAGTTTAAGTCATTAAATTTAAATTATAATCAATTGAATGTTATGATAGGATTAAACGGAAGCCTATTTGTGTACACCGACATTCTCTAACTATCCATTGAACATATTAATCCAACTACTAATTTCAATTTATGAACTTAATTATAATTGTCTTCACATTCGATTTCCAAACCAGCAGTAATATTTTATTCATTTTTTTCCAAGTCCTTTCAATATTTAGGAGTCGTTACTCTTATATATATTATTGGTGGTCAATCTTATCTTATCCAATAATTAAGAAAACAATAGCTGTGAAAGAATATTTCAAAGCTTCCTGTCATGAGCTATCAATAGCTTGATTTCTTCAATATTAATTGCCATTAATACAACTGGAAAATGAATAAACAAATCGAATTGCAGCCACACGTTTATTTTCTTCTCCAACTGGAAGATTTCTCTCCTTTTACTCAAAATCCTATCTATAAATAACCCATATCATCAGACTTTTCAAACACTCCGCACCTTTTCTATTTCCTCTTCCACTATCTCTATCGGGATTTTCTTTCCTTTCCTTCCTTTTCATATTTACAAGATTTTTAGTGATGGTTTCATTATCATAGACCTTTCTTGAATTGATACTCATGATATGAACCATCTCAGACTGTTCTGTCAAATGAAAATTTCTCATTCAGTGTCAGTTGTCCTTCTTTATTGGTTCTACGTCTTTTCTTGAACTTATATAATCTCAAGTTTCATACGCCAACATTTACATTTCCATTATTTAAGGCTAGCTAGCTGCTACAATTATATATTGTAATTAGTCGTCCAGTTATTAACCAAGAAAATGCCTTCATCCTTTGCTAAGGCAGGCTCATCAGGCTCTGAAATTGATGCACCAAATGCTATGGTTGATGAGAAGAGAAGAAAAAGAATGATTTCAAATAGAGAATCTGCAAGGCGGTCGCGAATGAAGAGGCAAAAGCACATGGAAGATTTGGTTAGTGAAAAATCAATTTTGGAGAGAAAGATATATGAAGATAATAAAAAATATGTTGCAGTTTGGCAGAGCCATTTTGCTCTCGAATCGGAGAACAAAGCTTTGAGGGATGAAAAGATGAAGTTGGCAGAATATTTGAAGAATTTGCAACAAATTCTTGCAAGTTATAAAGTCACTGAATCTGACCAGGATATTGAAGTTTCAGACAGATTTTTGAACCCATGGCAAGTTCATGGTCCAGTGAAATCCATCGCAGTTTCTGGGATGTTCAACTTTTAGTTCTTCAAGTTTTATTTCCATGATTATTGTCTTAAGATTGAGCTTTTGATTTCTCCAGTTATGTTGTTCACATTTATTTGGATTTTGTATATTTGTAGAATAAAATTTTGTGGTTTGTTGTTCAGTTCATTATTTTTCTGCGACAAGAAATTAGGTATGTCTTGTTTTCGCTTGATAAGGGAGAACAAGGGCTAAAAGTCTAAAAACAAAAGATAAAAGGTTAACTTCACGACAAGACTGCGTCAGGATAAGAACAAAATATTCCTAATGGTTATTCGAAATAAACGGCCAAAGAAACCTTTCTTCTGCTAGTCAGTCGGAACAAAAAAGGGAGCACCTAAACCGACTAACTGCTTCCACATGGAGAAGTTTTTAGCTAAGCCTTTTGCGTAAAGCAATAGCATTGCTTGTCAATCACTCGTCAATGAAGCTCTCAATGAGCGGTAGATCAACAGCCTATTTGAACTTTCCTTTTCTAACAAAAATATAAAAATTAAAACCAACGAAATTATTTATCTTAGGCTTGGTTTGTTTGACAAAAAATAATTTTCAATAGCAAAAACAATTCTAAAAAAATATTTTCTATAAATTTGTTTTTCAAAAAATTATTTTTTGATGTTTGACAATTACATAAAAAAAAACTATTGTTTGATTTAGAAAACTGAAATACAAAAACAAAGACTGTGATTATTACATCAACGATTTTGAAGAAACTTCAATAAAACATATTCATAATTTCACAATATAAGATGCATTTAGAAAAATTTAATAAATTTTTCTAAATATTGACTCTAAGATTTAAATTCAAAAAATCAAAAAATAAATTTTATATTTTTAATTATCAAACCAATTCATCAAAACTATTTGAATAAAATCAAGTCAATATTTACGTTTAGTAAAACAATTCTAAGTAATCCTAGCATTGTTATTTTGGTAACTTAATTAATTTTTTTTTTTTGAAAATTGAACTGATAATTTAGTCTAAAAAATAGTTTTAAATTATTAGTTATTATTTATAGATAATTATTCATTTTTTTAAAAAAGATTAGTATTGGAATAATTTGTAACTAATTATTAACTACAATTACCAACAAAATTTTACAACCGATTAAAATTAATAAGAAATTATTGATTTAGTTGCAAATAAATAGTATTGAAAAAATAATGTATTTATTAATGAATTAATTAGTTTCAAAATTTTCACAAATGATTGCGGCTTTGTAATAATTATTTTCAATCATTTAAGTATAGTTTAGGTGGTATTTGACATAATGGTAAAAAAAAATAGAGATAAATTATTGAAATATTTATTATAAAAATAATTTTAAGATGTAAAAATGGTTTTTAAGAATATTTAATGTATTTGTAAATCGAAAAATCAAATATTACTAGAAATAGAGAAAAAATAATTAAATAATTAATAATAATTGATAAGAAATAATTATGGAGAGAGATAAAGAAAAAAATTAAATCGAAAAATCAAATATTACTAGAAAATTAATTTGATATATTTTGAATAAAAAGAAGATAAAGAAAAAAATTATTAAAATATATGGAGAGAAAGATGAGTAACGTGAGAGTGAGACAGACTCGTGAGAGAGAATAAAAATGTTTTTTTTTTAACTCAGAAAATATTTTTTAAAAAAATACTCTATCATTTTCAGTTGATTTTTTTCTAAACGTAAAAAAAATATTGAAAAAAAATAATAATAAATCCTTGAAATTTATTTTTCTCGAAACCAACACAGTCATGGTCAGTATAAAATATGTATCAGGATAAGCAATAAGTCATAAATGATATATATACACAGTTCTCACTTATCTATTAAAGGGAGTGAGTGGACAAGAACAGTCAGCTTATCCATTTTAGGCCAGGTTTTTGAGACCAAGTCTTCCGGTCCCCTCACGAGCTTATCATGTACAAATCAAAGAAGAATAGAAATTCAGTTTTCGTGTTGCACTGTTACTCTTTGCCTGCTTTGGCATCTATTTCAATATCGCTATCAATTAGTTCGTTTCTGCATATTTCTAGAGCTTACGCTCTACATGCATAAAAAAGAAGCAAAGTATTAAAGAGATTATAATTGAGGTGAAGCTTTTCTTACACAAGGAACATTCGTAACAGCCTTGTTTGATACATGAGATAGGACCCGAGAGGACAGAACTGCTTTGCTTCAATAAGGGTATTGGCACAACACTCATCCATGGGATGGTCTTTGTCCCCTGTAATCTTATCTTCTGACTTAATACAATCCTTGCAGTTTATCATGAGCATATCTAGGTTGCCTAATTTACTTGTCATTTGTCGCATTAGCCAATCTAAATGCAATGTATAGACAGATGTATTATTCCCTTATCTAATTACACATTCCATGTTGCTTTATGATTAAAAAAACCCCGCAATTCCGGACTTGGCTTGAAGGTTTACGTTGATAATCTACAATAATATAACTAACACTAAAGCTAAATGAAGGTGACCTTTTGTCCCAATGGTTGCTGCCAAGGATGGATTGCGTCACGATGGTGACCATTTTCCGTGTATGGAAGGACACTGATACAAGGAATTGCCGGCATGTATTTGATTTCATATATATATATATATAAAGCAATTGTAAAGTCAAGATTTGGCCATCAACATACATTGACACTTGCGTTCTAGATAGACACTCAAGAGTGCTTTGACACAATTTTCTATTGGATTGGAAGTAATTAAGAGAAATACGCATCTAGTCTGATGTTTAATAACATTATCTGGTTCTCTCTTTTCTTTTTTCCTCTGGTAATATAAACAATTGATGTTTCCTAGTAGGCTAAAGGTGTTATGTTTATTGTTGTTGGGGGTTGACCTAACACCTATGGCCATTGAGTAAATTCAATCCAGTCCAGCTAACCAAAAGGCATTTTAAAATGAAGAGATTTGGTGGGGTGAGATCCAGTTACGTGGCCCAAACAAGGCCACATTGTAGATTGATTAGTCCAGCAATTGAATAAATCAAGTGCAGTACTAACTAGTGATTGGGCTCGTACATTACTGTCATCTGTTTACAAAACCTAGTTTAATCTTTTAGTGAACTCGAAATCGATTTTGATATATAATGATGTTTCGAAGAAATAAGTAAATGAATTAGACATTAAATTGAAAGATTATATGTTTTTATTAAGTTTCATTATCAATTTTATTTGCAATTTCTCATGTTGAGAAACTGAATTTTTTTTTTTTGGATTGACACAAATATTTCATAGTTCAGGTCTGCTTAAAAATTCGATTCAATTTTGTTTTTCTTTCTACAAAAAAAAAAAAAAAGAGTAAAATTAAATTTGATAAAAATCTATCATATTCGTAAGAAGAAAATAAAATAGTTAAATACTAATGGAAAGGATCAATAATCCCATTCAAAAAAAAAAAAAAAAAAAGAATCAATCTCCAACGAAAAATTTAATGATTAAAAAGATGGAAAGTGAGCTCAGTTAATATAGAAAGTAAATTAAATGAATGAAATGCGTAATTATTAACTAAATGGTCCTATTTCATGTAGTATCATTTCACTGAAAGTAAATAGATCCTTTTTTTTTAATTAATCCAGAATTTAGAAACTTATCCTAATTATTTGTCAATTTCTATAAGTAAACGATTTGCTTCCTTTTTTAAGTAGCCAAATGAAAGGAATATATAATCGAATAATCATTTTGAAATACATATTCAATTTAGGAAGTTAGAAAATTTTGGAGCCATCAATTGATTCCAACGAAAATTTGGATTGAAAAGCCACTCCCAAAACGTGAATGCGATAAATAGACTCCTCTACTCACGAGAAACCCAATGACCCAAACATTAGCAGAAATCGCCGACGACGACTTTGCTTGCTTTCTCTCCGTCTGTCATAAATAGGTATAAGAACGCAACAGAATTAACTTTAAGGACTGAAGTGTTAATAATGGCATGGAGGTTGGAACTGACTAAAAAGCCTAAAAGTAGAAAAAACAACCATGAAAGGACGGTTTCAGTTCATACCATAAAGTACAGTAATAACATATTGAGCAATACTCATATTGACGTTCCTACTACAACATCTCTGTTGAGCATATCATATTTCTGATCTCCAATAATTTGAGACTCCATTTTTTTTTTCAAAAAAAGATATTACTAGCATTATGATTTCACCGAATAAAGCACACAAACAGCATCAGCATGCTCGTACAGTAAGAGAATTGTCAACAGTATTTCACATCACAACATCACAAAAAGAACAGCTTGTTAAAACCAAGCTCACATAGCCTTAACAGTACATGTATAGGTACTAAGACCACAGAGATTGAGAACAACCAACGTATTACCATTTTCTGTCAGGTTTCAGGATAATTAACTCACTTAGGTCCCCCATGGCTCATATTCCAAAATTCAATTTCAAGCTCAAGGACACGCAGAAATGTTACTTCAGCTTTCTTCAGCTCTTCGTCTGAAGCTTTCTCTAGGCATCGATTGGCAATTTTTTGGAGGGAGTGACAATATTCACCAAAACCTTCACTACCCCATCTTTTGCAAGCCTCCTGTAACTCTGGTGGGGTTTTGTTGCCGTCTTCCAGGCAGTGGGAAAAGCTCTCTTGGTATACAGTTTCAATGGCCCAAAGGGCTGTAATGACCACAGGATACTCAGCTTCTGGTAACGTCAAACTCTCCAGAAATCTGCAACAGTAAGCAAAGAGATAGAAGTGTTTAAAATGCTACCTTTTATACTTCATCGACAAGGCTTTCTTTCCCTCTGCTAGTGCTTACTTACTGTGGACTAGCAATGATCTAATATGGATCATCACTTGCATTCTGAATTATGATAGATTGGCTATATAAGGTTTTAAATAACACAACTGTTCCTCCCGATTAAACACGCACAATGTTTACAATACTTGCTAATTGAGTCAAGCACATACATCTTATAATTAGTGTATATAAAACCCAGTAACAAAAATTAAAAATTTCCAAGCATTGCATTTGCAGATATGAAAATGAAACCTGCAATAATTCTGGTTTGACTTGTGGACAATAACATTAGAGAGAGGAACATCCCACTTGGCTGCCTCTTTCTTGAACCAAGAAATCTCATCGCTTAGAGAAGCTAGCGCACTCAATACGACTTCCATATCACTGCTATCATCTGAATTCTTGGAAGCCTTAAGTAAGACACTTGCAGCAAAAGGAACAAACTCTCTAACAAATATATAATCTTGTCCCTGCAATTTTTATGTCCAGTTAAGTCACCTTCAGGTATGGGCATAAAAAGAAGAATAAATCTAAATACTTAAAAGGTGTTATGAGATGTGATAACAAGAAAAGAGAAACCACCAACAACAAGCATCATAAACAATAAGGTTTATTTGGTACATTAGAGTGATCAAAACACTCCCACCTACTTTTTGTTGTGTCCAATACTAAATTCATGTCATGTCCTATCCTATGCAGTCCATTTGCTTGCTGAACCCTTAGAAACAGAAACTTATGAGTTCTGGTGTAGCAAAAGCGCTCGATCTGTTGGTGTAGTAACTCCGATATTATCATTGATTAGATCCTTGCAAAAGCTTTCCTTAAAAGCCAAAACTTCTATTCAACATTTCTTGCAAAAATGCTTCAAACACACACGGCACCAAATCTTTTGTTAGCTTTTCATAAATCATATGCATATTAACTCAACTAAATTGCAACTGTTTTTTGTAAAATTATAAAAATACTTAAAGCACACACAGCACCGAGCTTTTTTTTTTGATGAAACATCACCAAACTCTTGTCTGCGCAAAAACATTATGGGTTAACTTTCCTAGAATCATATGGATATCAATTTCCCAGTTGATTTATAAACATGCCATTTTAACACCTTGAAAAAGAAAAGAACCCCTTCAGCACAACAAACTTTTTAGGGACGACGAAATTAAACCATATGCCCACAACTACAACTAATCCACCCAAAAAAGAAAGGTAACATCATTGTGATCAATTGGAATATTAAGTAAGATTCGATAAAAAATCCCATCTTCATTTTTTTTTTTTTTTGACAAAATTAAAGAAACCAAGTGTAAAGATAAAAAGAATAATAGAATACGCACCAACCATCTCTTAAAAGAGGAGAAGTCGATGGTTCCATCACTTATGCTGAGGATGAAAGAGTGTCTGGTAGCTCCTGTATATAGTACAAGATGCTTCTTCACCCAACTATTAATTATACCAATCTTCTCTACAGGATCCATTCTTTGATTGCTTCTTAACCGCTACTCTTTTCTCTTTGTGATCGGTCGAATTATTTATTACTCCCTCAGATGGTCCTTCTTTCTATTTCTATTTATAGCTGTCTTAAAACGGTTTTATTTTCATTTCTTATTTTTTACCAATTAAAAAAATTTCCATTTCTTGTTTTTTACCGACTAAAAAGTCAATAATTATCTGAAAAGTATTTTAAGAAAATAAAGATAAAAAAAATATAAATTAAACTGTGTGAAAAATAATAGAACACAGGCAAACTCGAGTTGACCTCCTTTTCTTGGTTTGTAACAGGTGGAAATGTTTTCGGACGTGGCGTACTAGAAGGATAGGAAGAGCCCACGTGCTCAGACGCAAGCACATTCCACTGCTCCACATCAGCTCAGCTTGTATGACAGATGGCTCGTTTATGTTAAAAACTTCAGAACACATTCCACTGCTCCACATCAGCTCAGCTTGTATGACAGATGGCTCGTTTATGTTAAAAACTTCGGAGAACCTAGATTTTCATAATTCTTGCCATTTTTGGCAGACTAAATAATTCAACATTCAAAATTTATGAGTAAAATTGAGGCCATTTATAAAGATCAGAAAGAAGAAATCCTCAACCCTTCAAACATTTCAATTTCCAGCAATAATATATCAGAGAAAATGAAATGGTCAACGAAAAGGTAAATGAAAAAAAATTGAAGAAAATTTTAATTTTATGAATGGACCAAGAAATCAAGACGTGCTTTCTTCTTTAAGCTTGGAGTGATGACTTGTGTAGCGGTCATCTGTTGATATATCAATCCCCATCTTAGACAGATCTTGACGCAGCAAATTTGCATTCTTGAATTGCAGGCCATTAATGCCAACTTCAATCGCAGCTTCTACATTTCTCAACCTGGAGTCAGTCAGGCGTCAGAGATCAATAAAAGAGCTTGAAACTAACAAGCACTGTAAAGAATGTCCACGCATGCATGGGATAGCGCATCTGCGTAAGCGCACATTAAATGATCATAAACAGAATATCGAATTTCTGGCTATGCTGACTTTATAATTCCACTTCTATAACAGAAAAAGTTATTTACCAACAACAGAAGGATTCTAGCCTTACACGTGAATTAGTCAAGGGGTCACATTTCTTGGTGAGCAACTCATGGCATTCCTGTGTGATCAGAATAGATTAAAAAGGTATTTCCTTTGAGCTGCTGTTTGTCTCAGATTACAAAGAACATTTTCCAAAAGAAATTAGCAATTCAAGATGACAAAAAGATGGCCCTAAACCTACATCTGTTTATCTCTTCCCTACACTAGGAGAATTTTTATTTTTTATTTATTTTTTATTTTTTTTTTGTGAAATTAGAAAATTGGGAAAAAAGAAGAAGCACTCTTACATATACAAGTTAATATTTCATTGGTTTGGACTACAGGCGAAAAACCACGCTGCAGGTTGGTGAAAGAATACCTCCATTTGTTTGCAAAAGATGCAGATTTTCATTTCTCCTCAGTCCACTCCCATCTTTTCAGTCAATGGCCAGGCTACAAAACTCAGGGGGAAGTGTTAGTCCTCTCTCTTTGAACCTCTCCCTAACTTTCTTGGGTATGAACCCAGGACTTGATCCTCATGGCCTTTTGTAACCTAGAGACAAGTGTGCTAACAAGATCCAATCTCCATGCAGAATATCTATTATAAACCACTGTGTTTAGATTCTCAACTATAATTGCACATGGGATTTTCTGTGACATTAAGTAACCCTTGGTGTTTAGATTGGAACTTAAGCTTGCAATGCAAGTGCTGAAGACTACCCAGTCCAGACGTAAATGCAAATACACAAACCAAACCAAACCAATTTTCCCTGATTTGGATTGAAAACAAATAACCACCCATTTTAAACAGTGAATGGCTTAGAAATTCCTGCTACAGGAAACGTTAGCTTTGATTAAGCTCCACGTGAATTGAGAAACCTACTCAGACATGAAATCATGATTTATCATAACTGATCATTCATGCCACAGGAAAACTTACTCAGGTATAAAGTCATGTTTCATCATAACTGATAATTCATAATAAAATTTGAGAGGGAGAAAGAGAACAACCTGTCGTCAATAAAAACACAGCTTTCTGGATCAACTTTAAGATGTCTTGTGACTTCCAGATAGAAATCAGGATCAGGCTTCCTCTTTCCTGAAACACCAAGCTAATATGATCATTCTCCAAAAATGTAATTAAAGAATGTAAAACAAAGAACTCTACTAGAATCTCTCTCACTCTCTCATACCATCTTCCCCCAACCCAAATCAAAGATGTACATTTTTTAACAAAATGCAAATTGAACAGAAAACTAATAACTCAAATATAGTCTCTTGGAAGGGGTAGCCAATGAGCAAATAAAGGAAAAGGCAGCTAGTTTGTTTTTCCCATAGTACAAAGAATTGAAATTGATGGATCATAATCCATAAGGTCAAAGAACTCCCAAATAATCATCAAGCAATAACCTCTATGATAAATCCCAAATTACCACTGATTTACCGAGACATATAATGATGGAAAGTTCAAGTTGTTGCCCCTCTCTCCCCAAACAACTTTCACTATTGGCATACTTGCATGCCTACTCACAAACACACACACATAGACAATGAGCATAGGCAAAATCAAAGCGATGGACATACCGATCATACATGAACAAAATGTCCAAGATAAATATGTTGAGATATTTAACTTCTCCTCAATCAGTTTGTACCTATGGAAAAAATTTTCAAGGGGAAGCAAGGAGCCATTTCACCAAATAAGCAGTAAGATGGCAAAACCATTTTACCTTACCAGATGGGATAATTTGTAAAAGCATGCATCTCATAGTTATTTTCTTTTAAATTGTAAAGCAACTCTTCGATACCATCAATATAGGAATATCCTCTCTTCATACAATTTTTGAGGCCTGCACAGACAAATAAACAAAATTAGTACCTGCACAGACATGGAAGAAAAGCAAGAACAATAAAAGATGTTAGAAAAATTTTAATTTCTCATGTCCATTGTCAAAAATATAAAACTACAACTTGAATCGATAATTGCATATTCACAAACTGGAACTGATATTGCACAATAAATAGAACTTAGAAGGTTGAATAAGTTCCTAGAAATTTATGGCATGAGCATGATAATTTACCAAAGAAACCGAGGCATTTAAACTTCAAATGGGACATGCATACCAGACAAGTTCAAGATGTTTTATCAGAAATAAAATATTTAACTCTCTGAATGTACAAGGAAAATGGAATATAAGGTTGCGTATATTTAAATTTTATGCCAGTTCTGCTCAGAAATACAACCTTTAAAGCACCATCAACCATGATAAGATTTATTCATAGCATGTTCTGTCAAAGGCTATAAGAGAAAATCAACAGGCTTCAGGTCAGTTTTATTACTCATGGAAGAGTAAATTCAGCTAAGTACTCAGTTGTTTCAAGCTATATTCTTGCTGCACAATAGTTTATATGCATGTCAAAGCATAGGTAAGCAATCCCAAATTAATGTAACATAATCCAAGTCGCCATCCACAGTTAGCAGCGGCATCAGCATGCATACAAAAGATGGTGAAAAAGCCTGTCACAGGTACAGTGTAATAAGAAAGCCAGAACAGCTTAAGCAATAAGATGGATGTCTAATAGGATTGATAAAAAAAAGAAGCTTTAGTTTTATAATTAAAATTTTCATACAATCAAGCACAATCAAATCAATGGAAAAAATGATGATCAAAAAGGAAAAAAAAACATTGATGAAGAGTTCATATCTTCAAAATTGAAGTTGTTACCAACCTTCTAAATCAAAAGATCTCCCATCTTTGAAGAATTTTTTGGCCAGCTCCTTCTGAAAGAAACCATCATAACTTTTTTACTCGAAGATTATCATGAACAAGTACTAATGGAATTCTCCATTTCAAGAAATCAATAACAGAGATTTGCGTTGCAAATGTCTCCATTAAATGCATCAAATCATATATCATCCATCAATAACAAAACAAATTCTAAAAGCACCTATAGAATCTTGTCCTCAGTACCCAACTCTTAAATTCTTATCGTCATCGTATAATAAATAATCAAAAGACTGGTGGATTTTGTGAATGCCTGCCAGTTGAAAGTGTACCTCATCAATCCTCCCCTCTTCGAATTCAATCCATGCAGTTGGGTGCTTTTGTTCTATTAATTCCTTGAAAGACATTCTGGGGATAAAATATAAGAAAATCATATGAATTTTATTGAATTCGCATTTCATCCAATACAAAGCAAGCGAGCCAAAAAGCATAGAAAAACGATTTTTTTAAAGGGTAGAATCAGGAAGCAGACCCTAAGAAAGGAGCGACGTCATGGTAAAAAGGGTCGCGAACAATGGTGTCCATGATGTCAAAAAGCAGTATAGGAAGCTTTCTGTTATTAATATTCTGCTGCTGCTGCGTACGAATAGGGAAGGAAGGAAAAATGGGCATCATCTTCTTGTTGGAGTTGAGGTTGTTTCTTGTGGATTTCGGTGAGACTTTTTTAAGAGGGAAAGGGATTGCCCTTACTGTCAGGGCTCCGGCCATTTATCGGTTCCTCAAATCTAAATTCTAAAAAACAAGAGGGTGTTGGCGTTCGTCAACGGAAGGAGTTCGAGATCCTAATATAGAAGAAAGACTAGATTATTTTATCTTATCTTGTTTGGGCTGGCTAATCTTGTATCTTTGGGCTGTATTCTCATGTAATTGTATTATGGGCTTCTTGTAGCCTTGTAATTGGACCTAGACAGTCCATTTGTTCATTTATGCCATTCTTTCTTGTTTCGAGTCAAATAACATTTTAGGTGATCCAACTTATCAATTTTTTCTGCATTCTTTAATTTTTACTATTTAAATGACTAAATTTGTTATTTTTTTTTATATTTGAATGACTCGGTTAACTAGTTATTGATATGTTCATTGAGCGTACGTGTGGCATGATCATGAGTTTAATCGTAAATTTTACATGCATTCTATTACGATTTGATAATTTTAAACTCTTAGTATCAAATTGCATAATTTAAATCTCAAATTAATCGTATTTGAGCAAAATTGATCCAATTTCTTTAATTATCATTTTATGTAATGATCAACTGGATTTGCCCTTACTTAGAATGCCAAAATGAAGTTGTTTTGCCATTCTACTTGCTAATTATGTTTTTTTTAAAAAAATTCAAAAACATTTTAAACCCATCTAGAACTTTTTTAAAACTATTTTTATTATAAAATATTGTAAACACTTTATAAATTATATAAAAATATATTATATAAATATTTTTAACCCTCTAATTTTGAACTTTTTTAAAAACATTTTTCAAAATATTATAAGCATTTTATAAGAAAAATATTTTTTATAATTTATAATTTATAAAATTAGGGGGGTTAACCCTTAATTATACTTATATCAATTTATAAAAAAATTTTAAAGACCTGAAATTGTGTATTATTAATTTTTTTACAATATTTTTTTATAAAATATTTATAATATCCAATGAACATTAAAATGTTTATAATATAAATTATAATATTTTATAAATTAAAATGTTCATAATCAAGGGTTGACCCTCCTAATTTTATAAATTATAAAAAAATATTTTATAAATATTGTATAAAATTTTTCAAAATTAGGAGGTTAAAAATATTTATAAGATTTTTTTTTAAAGTTCAAGATTAAGGGGTTAAAAATATTTTTAATTTTTTTAAAAAAATATAAGTAACAGTAGAATGTCTAAACGACGTTGTTTTAACATTTCAAATAACTCGTCAACTTAGTTGATGGCTACATATAATGATAATTAGAGAAATTAGATCAATTTTACTAAAAAAACCAATAATTTAAGGTTCAAATTACATAATTTGATATTAAAAGCTTGAAATCACTCAACCGCAATAGAATAAAGGTAAACTTTTGTCATTAAATCCACCATCATGTGTACCCTATTATCAAACACATGGTAATTTTTTTAAAAAAATGAATAAATAAATAAAAATCAATATATATATATATATATATATATATATATATATATATATATATATATAAAAGTTTGACAATTAGTAGCTATTGCTTTCTTGAAACCATCCATCATGACAAGCTCCACCTTAAAAGACCCATCAATTGAATAACTAAGCCTATGGTGGTGGTTTGCAGCCTTCTTTTCTTCTACCAACACTTTTCCACCCAATTTCTCTTCTCAACCATCAATAACTCCAAGACCCAGCTTACCAAAAAAGTCAGAGTGCATAGACAAGTTCCTAAGTTGACTGATGGGTTTGAGTTTCTAATTCTGATAATTGGATGTGAGTTCATCAGTCAAGGAGTCGACAACCATAGGAGCAATAGTTGGAGGGTGAGCGTTAGTGGTGGTGTTAGGACTAGGAAGGCCTTAAAGAGAGGAGAGGTCGAGTTTAGAAGTATCGAAGATGAGGAGGTTGTCAAAGCAGAAGGAAATGTCGAAGTGGGCCCTTCGATTGTGGTTCCCACGATGAGGTGTCTCTGACACATGTTCTATGTCCACTGTCATCTGTTGTTTCCCTCTGTAATTGGTAGGGTCCATTGTTTGGATTTTGAGTGGTGATTTTGACGATGGTTGAATTGCAATGATTGATTTTATTGTAATAATAATATATACTTCACATTAAAAAAAACAAAAACTAAAAATTTGAACTCTTGACTAACCATTTACTACTTAGCTACACTTAGATTTACTATAGATCAAGAGACAAATGAACTGTGTGCTCTTTTTTTTTGTGTCCTAATCATTGGATTTTGCAATAATTTACAAGCTATCAATAAACTAATTAATGCCAACCTTTAAATTCGGGGAACTCTATCTACCCATAACACGCTCAAACCCTTCCCTCTCCCATTCCTATACAAACACCCCTTCCCTGTTTATCCATTCCAGTTCGTCTCACAAATCATAAATCTCTCGCATTCTATCATTTCCAATTTTCAAAAATCACAATAAACGGCACTCTCAAAAGCAACTACCATTACTGTTTTGGGTTTGGCCTTTGTTGTCCTCTCTGTTCATGCTGTCGCTTTAATATCCGCTCTAGCCCCTGCACCAACCACCACTGCTATCGGGATCTCTCCTTCCTTGGGTTTTGGCTCTTTTTTGGATATGGATTCGCAATTTGAGAGAGTGATATGGAGCGATGAGTCTTGCTCTGCTTTTGAGATTTATTTAGCGTTTTATTAAGTAACAAGGTATTTTATCAATGGTAGATCTAGGATTTTCTAGTGAGAGTCTTATATATGAATATTTTAGAGATTCAACGAGTGAGGTTTTCTTCATATGGTTAGTAGGTGAACAACTGATTATGGATTTCAGTATTATTGTAAATAAATTCATTGGTTTATTTTAGCTTAAATCCTCCTCTTAATTCATTGAATCCATTATTGTCTAATTTTATGTTTCATTTGATTGAAATTTGAGTGGTTTTCATATCAAATAATAATGTGGCTCACAAACCAAAAATAATTTTCTCAATTTTGTGGTGAATCTACCATTTATCTCATAGATGCAACAAAATCCAGTTTTATATGGTTATTGTCTCAAAATTCATGACCTCTCTTTAAAGAAATATCAAAAGGAAGACATGAAAAAAAAACTCTTGGCATAAAAAGAGATCCACGAGGAATAATCTGGAAGGCAAACAGTCACAAAGAGTAAAAAATGTGTGTAATTTGGTTTTAAAAATATAATTTTTAATATTATAGATTAATTAATCTAAACTAATGGTAACAATGAGAATACTAAATATTTACACCCACAAATAATAATAGTTAGGTTTATAACAGAAATAAACAATTATTAAGGCAAAATAAATAAATAAAAATTGTAAGTAAAAAACTTCTTTACTTTTTTTTTTTTTTGGTAAAATGTGGGAGCCATAAAATTGAGTTCTTTATCATATGTTCCTATAATTTGAGGCTTTTAAAAGATGGTTCTTTATCATATATTCCTGTAATTTGAGGCTTTTAAAAGATCGATGCTCCTAACTAGCCAGGACTAATTCTCTCAAAGCACCAAGCATGGATTTTAAATATTCATTATAATTACAGCCGTCATTTCTCTTGCAATGATTATTTCTCTTTAGCAACCTATGCAAAAGCCGCCCAATTTCTCTTGATAATAACATACATATATATATATATTTTTGGAATCCATATTACTATAATTTTTTATTTTTGTGTTTTTTGTACTAATTTTTTATCTATAAAATCTTTCTTTGTGAGATCAATGAGTATTTTTTATTTTTTATTTTTTAAAAAAACTTGAAATTCAACAATTTAAAAGATTAAAATTCAGCCAAGAAGGGAGATGTAGAGACCTAGACTCCAGAGTGCCTTTAGTGTCACACCTCGCCACGTGAAGATTCAGATTTCACAGAGAATAAGAATCAAAACTTGCACTTGCATGCTTTAGTTAAATAAGTTATAAATTAGTCCCTTTATTTTGAAATAATAAATTAATTAGTCTTTTTATTTCAAAAATTAATTATTTAGTTTTCTTTTTGTCTTTTTTATGTTATTTTCTATTTTTTCCTTTTTATTTTAAAAATAGAACAACAAAAATAATAAATTTATATCATAAAAAGAGTAATGGAAAAGAAAATATTTGATGGAATAAAATATATTACATTAAATATGATTAACAGTTCAACGCTAATTAAAAGATTAAATAATTAATTTTTGAAAAAATATTAAATAATTCATTCATTCATCAAATCTTAAGGGACTAATATATAATTTACTTTCAATTATTCATATTGCATCTGTCTTGGGTGCAAGGTATTCAAAGTCCTATAAATCAGGCTTTAATAAAGTAAATTATAAATTAGCCCCTTTAATTTGAAAAAAGAAATTAATTGGGCCTTTTGAAAAAAATTATTTAATCATTTTTTTGCATTTTATGTTATTTTCTAATTTGTTAAAAAATAAAAAATAAAAAATTTATATTTATATCATGAAAAGATTGATGAAAAAAATTATTATGATTTATGAGAATGTGGTTAGGGACAATATTACCACTCATAAAGTTCATAAGTATATGGTTATGTATCTTATACCTTATTAGACTAGTCTATTTTAAATTCACAACATTCTTTTTTAAAAAAGGATCATTTATGGTTGCTTTATTGTTTGAACAATTGAATTTGAGAGGGCAATATAGTTATGATTATAATTTTGATGGATAAGGATCACAACAACAATAACAAAATGATAACTATTATTATGCTTCTCTACAACAATATTTTTCAAAATAAATATTTAGTAAGGTGTATATTGAAATTGTAATGTATTTTATTATTTTGTGTGATATTAATCATTAGAAGCGTTATTAACTTTTTTTGTAATAATAAATTCAATTATTGTTGTATGATATTAAATATTAGAGATGTTATTACTTATTAGCGTGCTTAATTAATAAAGTTGTTACAAATATATGAATTAGAAGAAATTTACCGATAGTTGCTAAATTATTCACACATCGATTATCGCAACTCGTTATTTTACTATCGTGATAAGTTGTTATCTACAATCGCGATGATAACCATTTTTTAATTGTGATTGTGATTTAAAACTATGTCAATGACTCAATACTACTATTTACAAAATATTAACTACAAATAAGTAAAGTGTATAAACTAAAAATATATTTTTTAGTATTCACACAATATTAAATACAAATATGTTATGTTAAGTGTGAAAAAAATATATTTTTTTTAATCTAAACGATTAAAAGTATATTTTAAATAATTTATCGTAGTTCACTAGGTATGGTCAAGTTATATATAAAAAAAAACAATTGAATCATCAGTTTTATTAAAAAATAATTATATATCTTCACATATAGCACCAATTATTTGCTATGAATTATTTTTTTAACATTATAGAATCAATTTTCTTTTGAAATAGAATAATTAAAATAATACTAATTATTCGATTATATTTTTTATGCTAATATTATTGATTATTATATATATATATATATTAATTGCATATACTTTCAAAAATATCTTCTCATCAATATTAAATAAGATTGGTTTTTCTTATTAGTTAATTTTTATAAAGTCTTTACATTAATTGTAACTTTATTTTTTTATGCATTCTTATGAAAAATATATTTTTGAAGTACTTTTTTACTATTGATTTATATTCTAGTTCAAATTATTAAAATTTTTTATTTAAAAAGCAATGCATAAAGAACAATAAATCATACTTTTAAAATAGAAAATTTATGAAAAACATGAAAATAAATTATAAATTTTTCAAATGATTTTATTATGTCCGCCTCATAGCATAGCACGAATAACCATTTAGTGTAATCTATTTGAGAGAGAGAGAGTGTTTTTTCAAATAGTTTTCAAAATTTATAATTTTTTTTATGTTTTATTTAATTTAATTTTTATTTTTTTTGTCTCCACATGTCAGACATGGAGCTTACATGACTATGCTACATTTACAATTAACAGACATATGGGTTGTTCAAATAAAAAAAATAAAAATAAAGAATATATACTAAAAAAAAAAAAAAAGGAAGACAAGTTGAAAAACTTAAATTGTAATAAACTCTTTTGTTTTTATTTTTAAAAACTTAATAGAATTCCAAGATTTGAATCCTAGAAATCAAAAAATAGATTTTTTAACTACTAGATCAATGTGGAGTATACAAGAAAAAAATTTAGTTTCGATTAATATATAAGTCGGTTTGAAAATATACTTTCTATAGGATGAAAAAAGAAAAAAATACATGGAGATGTAAAATAGGATCATGCAGATAAAATAAATATTCAAACAGAAATCAGAAGCAGACAACTTAATTCAACCAATAATAGCAATAAGATCTGATTTGAAACCCGTTAAAATATAATTATAAAAAACCATATTGACAATGTCGACATAATATACTCATAATTCAAAATTCTTGGCTGTCCCCTCCTTTGATTACCCCTCTACTGGTAGTAATTTATTTTTTTGTCTATAAATTTTGAATTGTTAATTGACTTTTTTCTTCTTCTAATTGCCTAATTTGGTGCACTGCCCTGATTTACAATTTATTACCATGGTAGAGATTTTTTTAAAATTTTTTTTATTTATAAATTCAAAAGACTCGAAGTGAAGTCCAATGGAACATATATAGTGATGGGGACGTGCCATAGCATAATGTATTATTCTTTAAATAATGATCAGTCTTAAGAGGGAAAAAAAAAGTTTAATATAACAACTTACAAAATGAAATTTCACCAAATTTCAGTAAGTGAAAATGACCAAAAAATAATAAATAAATAAATTAATAGACTTGTAATCTAGTGATAGTAAGCTTTTTACTCTTACAAGATGTCACATGTTTAATCTTTTTTTTCTTTTTTAGTATTTGAGTTCAAAGAAAATCTCATTGCAAAAAGAGTCTCATAATAATAGTTAATTCAGTTCGACATGGTAATACGATTTTTTCTCATGTCCCACTAACTAACAAGACTGAACACCCTAACATCTAACATGTCATAGGGCTGCAGAATCCCTATTTATGACAGCAACAAAAAAAAAAAAAAAAAAATCATAAGAGGCTTTAATTAGTGGGGATGAGTCAATACTCAGGTGCCTCATGACTGGGGTACGTGGATTTTATTCATTTAGGCTTTCCATACCAGCTTCCGATGGCAATAACCTGTTGTCTTTTGCTGTACATTTCAGCCTCCAATATTCACCCAACCAGGTTTGATTTGAGATCTTTAAAAGAATTTGATCTCACTCCTTGCCTGCTTAGTGCATGTGCTAATATTGACATGAAAGCATTAGCTTTATAGTGCATGCCTAAAGTAATGGTTGATGGCCATTATTTTTAGCTCCCTTCATCTGAAAAGATAGATGTTGTTGTCATCCCATTTCCCTCTCAACGTGCCATGCCATGAATGGCTATTGCTATAATGGAGATACACACCCTGTCTCAATCTTGCCTATTCAAGGCTCCCTTTGAAGGTTTGGAGACTACTGGCTTTACTAGGGTTGCAGCTAACTGTTGCTCAAAAACGTTCTCCAGTGGCCTCATGGGCTACCAAGAAGAGCTCTTGATAGAAAAGGTTTGTGAGATCTATGACAAACTCTCGAGGTTAGAAAACCTCAATCCTTCCAAGCAAGTTAATTCTCTCCTCACCCAACTTGTACGCACATGTATGAGCCAATGCCACATTGACATTACCAAATTGAGCGAAAGAGTTCAACTTATGAGGTGTAAGTTAATTAAGCTCTGTGGGAAAGGTGAGGGCCTCTTGGAAAGCTATTTCGCTACCGTCATAGGATCTTATGACAACCCACTTATACATATTAATACCTTCCCTTACTATTCCAATCACCTATAATTTTCCATGCTTAGCAAAATTTGCAGTCAAGTTCCTAAACATATTGCCTTTGTGGGTTCTGGTCCCTTCCCCTCACCTCAATCATCCTGGCTACTAATCTTTTAGGAACTACTTGCTTTCATAACTATGACATCGACCCTTCAGCAAATGCCAAAGCCATTCAGCTGGTTTCATCAAATTCAGAATTGTCAAAACAAATGTTTTTCCACACTGCAGATATTATGAATGTGTCAAGCAGCTTAAAACAAATCAAGTTGTTTTCCTGGCAGCTCTGGTAGTCATGGACAAAGAAGAGAAAGTTCGGGTCATCAAACACTTGGCTGACTAAATGGCTCCTGGAGCTTTACTGTTGCTGAGGTAGGCAAATGGTGCTCGAGGCTTCCTATATCCTGTCATTGATCCTTGTGATCTTCAGGGCTTCGAAGTTCTATCAGTCTTTCGTCCTTCAGACTATGTCATCAATTCAGTTATTATTGCACGTAGAAATTCTTAAGGGTGATTCATTCATTGAATCAAGAGCCTGGTTCTACCTAACTGTCTAGCAAATGTTTGCACGTATACAGCTTCAAATGCCTTCAACCATGGAAACATGACTGAAAAATTGACTGCCGAATGCTGATTAGCAACAGTACAGCATGTTGCCTTTCGTTACTTCCCTGAATCGTTTGTGTACCCCCTTCCATCCATCTCCTTCTCTTAGATGATCATTCACATGAAAATGGCATTTTTTTGGGTCCAAAATCTTTACGTAATGTACCGTATTTATAGCTCTATTTTGATACTCGCTCAATAAAGGTAATTTCTTCATTACAGAGCCCGATGGTTGTGAACCTGTCATGCATGCATCAAGGTAGCTCTCACATTGGGAAATAAAACTTAAAGAAGAGGAGTTGACAACAATTTTGGTTTGAGATAATGTGAATAGAGACAGCAGTCAGTTCCTAACAAACATCAACAAGTTGAATATGTAAAAATTAGACATAGAGTTCTCCCCGTATAATTTGCATTCATCCCAATGCATACCTCAGGTATTCAAGATTTTATTTTCTTTTTCGGATAAATTAGAAGAGGTTGAATTTAAAGAGGAACAAAGAATTCCTGGAAAGAGTACAATACAACTAGTGAATAGCACTAGCAGAGGACACTGCTTAAGCACAGACCAGTAATAACTTCAACCAAAATAATACTTGACATAGCTTTCACTGATAAAATCAAATTTACAGCATGCAGCATACCAGAAAAGACCAAACTCAGAAACAGTAGCAGCTAGCTCTGACATAACTCACATAACCAAAGAATATCCATATGATAACTGGCACTAATTAAGTCAGCTCCAATAACAGATTAGAAAGCACAAGGTTTAGCTACAGCAACACCAAGCTTTTACCATTGAAATACAGAAGCAGCAACAAATAGTTCATGCTTATCTATCAATCACTTAGCAATGACTAAGAGGAAACATCCACAATAGCAATGATAGAATAGGGTAAATCAGCACATCAGATTAAAACAAAAGAAGAGCCATACGCTGCTGCATCAATATTGACAATTAGCAGCAATCAGCCAATCAGCTTCTGGCAAGAGCCACTGAGACAGCTGGAAAAAATTAGAGCTGATAGCCAAAATGGTGTTGCAGATACAGATTAAATTTATAAATGCACATCCAATCAGATGACTGTTTGTGATGGTTAAATAGCCAGTTTTCTGTGTCACAGCATGACAGATTTGTCTATAACTAGTGGTGAGAAGAGTAACAATGAAATCGCCATGTGCAAAACTTGTGTCTTAAGGAGCTCTGACTCGGTAATTAAGGGGCTTGTCACTAGGAGATATGGATTCATTGCTTTTGGCTTTCATCCATGTACCATTATTAGCAATAACATATTGTATTCTGCTCTGATATAATCCTCTGCTTCCAATGTTAGCTGACATTCAATTTGAACATAAAAGAGTAGTGATAAATATCTCCTTGTACCTTCAATGCATGTGCAAATATTTAAATAAAATAAATTAGCTTTATAGTGCAGTGGAAGATTAATGGTTCGAGGTTGTTTGCATCATTCATCTTAAAGGAACATCTAATTGTGATCCTGTTTTCCTCTTAGCATGCCAAACTATGAATGTTCATTACCACAATGGAGCTATTTCACCTTAACGAGAAGCATGCCACTCTCAATCTTTCGTATATTAGGCCTCCTTTGGAGGCGTGAAGAGGATCTCTTGGCTTTCTGGGGTGTGGCTATTGCTAAACAGGTTTCTCACACTAGTATTCCCATGGGCAAGCAACAAGAGCTCTTGATAAAAAAAAGGTTTGTGAGATCCATGGCAAAATTTCAAGGTTAGAAAACCTCAATCCTTCCAAGCAGGTTGACTCGCTCTTCTCCCAACTTGTAACCACATGTAAAAACCAGCGTCATATTGACGCGACCAAATTGAGTGAGGGAGTCCAAGAAATTAGTAGTCTAATTAATCTTTGTGGGAAAGCTGAGGGGCTCTTGGAAAGCCATTTCTCTAACCTCATAGGATCTCATGAGAACCCACTTGACAATATCAGGCTCTTACCTTACCATTCCAATTATCTCAAACTCAGCCAATTACAGTTTTCCATGCTTAGACAAAATTGCCCTCAGGTTCCTAAACGTATGGTTTGTGGGATCTGGTTCTCTTCCCCTAACTTCAATAATCCTGTCCACTAATCCAGAGCTATGACAAAGACCCCTCAGCAAATTCCAAAGCCCTTAACTTAGTTTCATCAAATTTAGAATTGTTCAAACGAATGGCTTTCCACACTGCAGATATTATGAATGTGTCAAGCAGCTTAAAACAATATGAAGTCATCCTGGCGCCTCTGGTGGGTGTGAACAAAGAAGAGAAGGTAAAGGTCATTAACCACTTGGCTAAGCACATGTCTCCTGGAGCTTTACTGTTGCTAAGGAGTGCACACGGAAGCTTGGGCATTCCTAGACCTTGCAGTAGATCCTAGCAATCTTCGCGGCTCTGAAGTTCTTTCAATCTTTCATTCTACTGATAATGTCATAAATTCAGCGATTGTTGAACATCAAATTTTTTAAGGCCAATTGTCACTGAATCAAAGACCTGGTTCCACCTAACTATTTAGCTAACGTTCTGACATCTAGGGCTTTCAATTCCTTCAACCATGGGAACATGATTGGAGAATTGACTGTTGGCAAGCAACAATTCTATTTATAACTTGAATCCTCTGTTTATCCATCTAGCTTATTATGTTCCCTCAATTACATAATAATTTATTTGAAAATGCCATTTTTTAATTTCTATACGAAATCTTTACTCGTGTATCTATGATTTATTTGCTCAATAAACGTACTTTCTACATCATAAAGAAAAGCATCCCGATGGTTATCAACCAACCACACAAGCATCAAAAGTTACCTAGCACTAAGAGTCCAAACGACTCAAAAATACAAAGAAGATGGATTATTAGGAAAACCACTACTCTATAATTTCTATTTTTACAGAAAGCGAATGTTATAGTTAATACACATGCATGCATATGATGAAAAATATAGCATTCAATGCATGTCAAGTTGAAGCTGGAATATTAGCTATAGAATTCTTACCTCAGTTACATTTATCCCCTCCATGCCTCAGCTACGTAACATAGGCAGAGTACAAGCACATTGAATTATATCCGTCTTCTTTATTTTGACTCCTAGCATCTTGTAAACTCAAAAGCTCCATTCAACACCATTTAGCTGCAATTATGCAGTTCCTGAACTACTAGTGTTCCTCTTGTTGAGTTTATCTGATAGTTAGCAAGTCATGGCTTTCTAAAACTTATCCATCGAGTCCATGAAATTCTTAATGAGCGCTTGCCTTCGAGGAATTCACTCATTTGGTCACCAATCCAAATAATGGCATATTCACCCCAAAACTTGAAATATGGGCATTACCAACAAATTTATAGGGCACTATATCTAGGTGTTTTGACCAGCTGTCTCTCAGTTCTCAGCTGCAACAGTCATCATAAGCTCATGCTCATCTTGCACCATATATTTGTCTATTACTTGCAATTAACTCATGGGTCTTAGATTTCAATATTTTCACCAGATGCCATGGATCTCAGCCATGATAGTCATCATTGGTTCCTGACCATCTTGCACCATATGATTAGCCAATATATGCAACAACTCATAAATTACTTGACTCTCGGAATGAGAATGGTCTCTAGAAACAAACTCATGGACTGCACCATCGAGTTCAATGGAGCTGCATCCAGGAGTTTTTTGCATACCTCTTACTTTCATCTCTCTCCTCAACTTCCCAGAAATTTCCCATTTATTAACTGCTGCATAAACATTGGAGACAAGCACGTAGTTCATGTCATTTTGTGGCTCCGTCTCAATTAGAATCCTCCCAACTTGCTCTCCCAGCTCGACATTTCTGTGTAGTTTACAAGCACTGAGAAGGGCTCTCCATATAGCTGGATCCGCTTTGACAGGCATAGTTTCAACAACCCGAAATGCATCATACAACAGACCTGCACGACCCAATAAATCCACAACGCATCCATAATGCTCCATTCTTGGTTGAGATTTCTGATTCTCCACCATTTTATTAAAGATCTGCAGCCCAACATCAATAAGACCTGAATGAGTACATGCTGCTAAAATGTTGATGTATGTAATTTCACTAGGCTCTATTCCACACTCTATCATCTTGGTGAAGAGCTCAATAGCTTCCTCCCCAAACGAGTGCATTGCCAGTCCACCTATCATAGAACTCCACACAAATACCTTCTTATCCTCCGTTCCTCGAAAAACTTTCCGGGCCATGTCAATTTGCCCACATTTACTGTACATATCAATCAAAGCTGTCGATAAATGGGCATCAACTTTAATCCCATGTTTATCTACATACATGTGGAGCCAACGACCCTGATCCAAAGCCCCCAACCTAGAACAAGCAGAGAGCAAAGTCGTCACGATGACCTCATCCATTTTAACTTTAGCAACTTGCATCTCCTTGAAAAGCTCCAAAGCCTTACTATAACAACCAATTTGTATATAACCCTTAATCAATGCACTCCAAGAAACCAAGTTCCTTTTTGGCATCTCATTAAACAAACAAGACGCCTCACTCAAAAAACCAGCATCAGCATAACCCACAAGCATTATAGTCCAAGACACAACATCTCTTTCAGGCATTTCATCAAAAGCCCGCCGCGCCCCATCCAAATCCCCTGACTTCACATACCCGTTAATCAAACAATTCCAAGAAACAACATCAGGACTCTCAATTCTATCAAACACTCGACGAACCACAATTCCCTCCTCTCTTACTTTCCCATAAAAATCCATTAAAGAATTCCAAGAATGAACACCAAACTTAAAGGGAAATTTTATCATCTGGGCATGAGCCTGCTTGCCTTCAAAAACAGCATTAAACTTAGAACAAGCAGAAAAAACATAAGTAAAAGTAAAATCATTAGGATACACATCATGCTGATCACATAACATTCTTGAATAAAAGCCAAATGCCTCTCTCGGATTACCAAAATTTGCATAGGCTTTTATCATGGCGGTATACATAAATGAATTTTTCGGAATATCAACAGTATCAAACAGTTTTTGAGCATAATTAAGACAGCCCAGATTGTCAAATGAGGCAAATGACAACAAAAGACGGCCAAAAGCATGTTTTTCTTTTATAAGAGAGGTTTTTATGAGAAGGGTGTGTAGTTGTATTAGTTCTTCAGGGGTTTTGGAGTTTTGGAGAAGTGAAATGGCATGGTCCCGTTTGTTTGATTGATGTTTTTGTTGAGAGTTGAGTACCGTGGTTTTGTTGGGTATTGGTAATAGATAAGGAGCGGAAGATACGCTCATGTCTGGCTAGATTGGTTTTGGACACAGAAACTAGTAGCTTGCTATGACAGTTAATTAGTTAGCGTAGAAAGACGAAAATCAGGAAGGAGATTTTTTGGAATAAATTTCAAGTTAGCCCTCTAACTATATAGCTTTTCTCACTTGAGTTTTCAAATGTTCTCTTTATCCCAATTGGGTCCTCAAAAGGTTTAAAAATTTGAAACGAAATTCCTATTGGAGGTCATAGAGCCTAACCGTCTCCCTCAACTAGGGAGTCTTCTTTCGTCGTCTAGAGTTTTTTTGTTTTGGGTAAATCTCAAATTAGTCCTTTCAACGATATATAGTAAATATTAATTAAATTTCACTTTTTTTTTCTAAGTTGGATCTACAAAAATTTAGAAATTCGCAATGCACTTGTCCAAAATTATCACATTTTATTAGTGTAAAATGCCAAACTTCTTCATAAACAATGTTTCTTTTTATTGCATAAAATATCCACTTTTAGATGGTGGACTAATTTAGGGCTTGCCTTCTTTTCTTTTCTTCTTCTTCTTCTTTTTTGGTTCATAGAATATTATTAACAAGAACTAAAAGCTGAATATAGTTTCATTATAGGTAAATTATAGTAGTTATAATGAATAAAACGACTTAATTTTAGATCTTTCTAACTTAAAATGATGTAGCTTTTATAAAGAAATAAATAAATTCTTCTCATAAACCTACGCAAATAAAACGAGTTTGTTTTAGATTTTTTAACTTAAAATGATGGCATTTTTATATAAAAAAATATAATTCCTTTTACATACCTACGCCATTTTAACAAAAAAATTTAAGTGATTTTTTGCAAATAATTTCAATTTAATCCTTGATGTTTAAGATTTATACAAAATAATCCATCAACTTCATCGGTATTAGATCTAGATCTTTGAATATAGAAATAGGTGAGAGAAGGCAGGAGAGAGAAAGGAATTTGTTTTATTTATTTATTTATTGGGTGGATTAGAGGGTGTTTTGAGGTATATAATGAGTTTAAACATGACTTTAGATTGTTTTAGGATGAAATTGATCTAGAAATTGGATGTACAGACCAAAACCACGATCTCCCGATCTTTTAGTGACAACACGACCGTAAAAAATTGTAGGTGGCGGCTGGAGAGTTGCTGCAGAAAGCAAACGGGGAAGATGCGCCATCTGACATGTTAGACGACGCGTCGTCCTACTTTTTTCTTCCTCCTTTTTCACGCTTGGGCCATCCAATCCAAATGAACAAACCTAGATGCGCAATGGCCTAGCTAACTTTGGAAAAAAAAAAAAAAAAAATCTTCTCATTTTCCATGATTTATTATTTACTCAATATCATTTTTCTCCAAATAGTTAATAGTTGTTTATGTATTTTTCATAAAATTTCAAAAAAAAAGAAAAGAAAAGTAATGATGATTATTTTTATGATATTGACATGTTCTGATTTATTTTTAAAAAATTAGTATAAAGATCATCATCGTTACAATGAATAATGATTCCTCGTGTAATCTTAAAAAATAAAAAAGATTAGTTGTTAATTTTTTTAAAATAATAAAGATTTTTTAATTGAAAATTAATCAATTAAAAGGCATGGTTTTGAAAAATAATGACAATAACATTGAAACAAAATTGATAAAATGTCGATTTTTCGTTAAAAAATATATCGACACTAGTCGCTGGAAGTTGCAGTTGGCAAGGACATGCTGTTCGCCCCTCTTACACACACACACACACACACACATTGTGGGCCTAACGCACGTTTATTCAAATTTCTTTTCTTTTATGTTTATTATTTGGGCCTTTATGCATCCGATCTAAGAGCACTAGCTTGACACGCACCAAAGCTCATATTCCTTTTGTTTTTAAACAAAATTTATCGTGCTTATCTTTTTTTCTTTTAATGATTTTTATTTTCAATATTTTTTATCTTTTGTGTTCGTCTTAAATAGATATCGAGACTAGTTATTATAGTAAAAATAAAATGATTCTCCATGGAACTTTACAAAACAATAATAATTAATTATAAAAAAATTGACCATGATAAAAGTTTTATAATTGATAATCAATCATTCTAAAATGCATGGTTTTCAAGATCTTTTTAGTAATAACACTAAAAGAACTAATTTTTTTTCTCCATATTATCATTTAAAAATAAATATTCAAATACAATAATTTAATGGTTAAAAATGTATTATTTATAGTTTAAGTTAAATATTAGGTGATTATGCCTCACTTCAAAGTTGATTATCATTCTTCAAAATTACAACTTCTAGTTCCTGGACAATGAGAATCCTTGTCTCCCCCTCTTATTTAACCAAAGAAAAGGTCCTTTCCTTTGTTAGACCATGTGCCATATTTCCTTGATATTGAATCTCAGGCCAGAAAAATGCCCTGTACAATCACAAAATGGAAACTGGTCAGCTGCATTCCCTCTTATATCAGAAACTAGATTGATTAAGTAGCCTAGGCATCATATTTTATGGTCAGATGATCGACATAAGATGCTCTGTTCCTTCATGATGGGCAAAATGTTCGGATCCTATTCCAAAGTGAATGGAGATGACAACAACTATGATATTGACTTGTTGATATCATCAATGCTGCCAGCCAATCTGTCTTGTGAGGCGAAAACAGAAACTGGTGATTGTTTCTAAGATTCTTGGAGTGACTGACAACGAATCGCATCCAAAAAGAAGGAGAAGAAGACAAAAAGGCAGTGCAGAAATTTTGAGTTTAAATTAAATTTTCACCTTAGAACTATGATGTTGTCAGCCGGAGAAACCGTACATATATAGCTCATTCCAAACCAGCAAGAAATATGATGTTGCTGGCTGGAGAAACCATATATAAACCAAAGCTGCACCTTGGAAAAAAAAATTATTTTGCAAAGTTTCCCCCTAGGAGAAGAACAGATTGAAGCCAATTATTAAAAATCTAATTAATGTTCGTGGCAACTGAGTGATACTAGTCGAGAAGCATCCAATATAATATGTAGAATATCGAGAAGCAGAATGATATTTGCATATCAAGATAATTCGGAACTGCAGACTATTAGAGGATCTGCTATAGGAGTTAGCTTAATTCGACAGGTTTTTTTTATATACTTGCTCAGCTCTCAGTATTTTATTTTGCAAACTGATTCAATTGATAGCTTATATAGTAGAGCAAACTTTTAAAATTCCCAAGTAAAAAAGTGATCTTTTTGATGAAATTGAGGCTCCTATTGTTTGTAGAAGAAAAGTTCCTAGAGCCATGTTCTGAATACAATGTGGCGCTCATCAAAGCCATGACACCCAGCCAAGAGCATAATGCGAGCAGAAACATCTCAACTGGAGCATGCCAAATATTCTTTCAGTTTTCTGTCTGTTAACTGTTAGCGTAACTGATTCCATTTTCAAAGGTTATTTCTCCATGCACACATCCATGCCATAAACAAATAATGGTAAACGCCCATTACAAGATTCTTGAAGATTATGGTTAGTTCTGCTCCTATAGTTATGAAATATTAGTTGCAGAACTTAAAGTTTTAAAACAACAATTAATAACTAGAAATCCTTACAAATGATCTCTGGGACTTAGCATGGACATAGCTACTTTATAAGAAATTCACATCTCCAACTTCTTTCATTTCTTGTCAAGCAAACTTCCAAACAGAAAGAGAATGAATTGGTGTACCCTTCCACCCAATAATTAGGCTTTTTCCATCCATATTGAGTGTACAAGCTTTCCCACAAGCTAATTTCTTGGCCATGATGTTTGCTTGGTATGTGGATGATATACTCATTTCTGCCTCTACCATATCAAAACGTGCAAAACATGCCCTCCAGACATCAATCTTCACATTCCGAATATTCCTCTCATCTCCCTCTGCTACCAAAATTTTCCTTATTCCCTCACCGAAGTATAATGATTCTGAAATCATCCTGTTTGGATCATCCCGTTCCATACAAGTGTCCAGGCAATCAAAAAATGCACTGAGGTAGAAAAGTGTTTCAATAAAACGGTCAACAAAAACCGGTGAGTTGTGATTTGCCTCAACTTCAATGATTACCATTACACGTGGATTGATGTTTCTGATCACTTTGGTTAAGGAATCCAGCCGGTTTGGCGATGCAATTAGTCTTGCTAGGTAAAATTCAGAAAATACAGCCACTGTTTCTTCATCATCCAACTGAAAGTCATCTTCTCTGAGATCCAGCATGTCTGATACCATAACCACATTAAAAGAAAAGGGCAGGTTCATGGTCTGAGCAAAACTCATTAACCTCTTACCTGTATCCTCTATCAATTGCTTTGAGGTAGTCCCAATGGCAGTTATCTTGAGCAGCTCAAGGGGCCATGCTTCTCGAGACACCAAAGCTTGCATGAAAATTGTCCAGTGCAGTCCACTCCTGATTTCAAGATCAATTATGTGAATTCTCTTTGCCTCGGTCACATTTTCCACAATGGCTTGAATTCCAGCAAATTGTGAAACCTGGTTGAATGGATTTTGTTTATAAAAGGTCATGTTGCTGAGGCTTGGAGCCATAATTGCCTCACAGATATTGAATGACTGCTCTTTTCCAAAGCCCTTTGACGTGGCTCTTCCTGTTTCTTGATTAATTCTCTCTCGAAGAGCTCCAGAAAAATAGTAAACTAGTCGTTGAACTGGATTTCCCGTGTTGGAAGAGAAGAAATCACATAGATCCAGCAGTCTGCTTGCACTGTCGAATTGCTGATTACCAACTTTCTCAGCAGCGGACAAGAGAAGTTCAGAGAGTTCCACATTTTTGGTCTCGTAACCGGAAAGGCTAGAGAAAGAAAGATCAAAAGGATGGTTGGAGTGAACATCAGCACTGGAAGAATGGATAAACCTTGCTCCAGCTATCCTCATGATTTCTTCAGTTGATAATTCTTGCTTTACGACCATCGGGGATGGTGGATCACCATTCGGCTCAATTTGTCTTTCATCATTCAAACGTTTGAGGCCATTTCCGTACTTTTTTAACAGCTCAAATGAAGCTAATGAAAGTGGGAGTTGCTTTTCCTTGTTGGGTTCAAGAAGATCTCCAATTCCATTTTCATTTTCTCTGAACTTGGAGATTTCCTCCAAACATGTTTTAAGTGGCGGAGACATGATTGAACTGAGTGGATCACTGTTCCACGACCGTCCCCATTCTTCATCAGCTCCATCGAAACGAATTTTTTCTTGTTTTCTTTCTCCTTCCTTACTATCAGAGCTTTTATGCGTTGAATTAAACGCATCTTGGACTTCACCAAAATTGAATCCCTCAAGAAAGAACCTTTCATTTGCCATCTAAAATTGGAAATAAGCTCACAGTTTTCTTTCTTAGTTCTTATCGGTATAAATCCTAGTTTTATAAGTAGATAAAATCAAAGTTTTAGCTGGGACTGGAAAGACATGAGGTTTCCTTTGGGCTCCACAATACCGTCCAGATGATAGAACGTTTTCTTCATTGTATTCTACTGCAATGTGACATATTTTATGTCGAGCTAAGATTATCAGATACAGTCAATTTGATGTTGATGTAATCAATGCAGCTTGCACTGCAGATGGCAATTTTGTGGTAACTTGAAGCCAAATACTTCACAGAGTTATCGGTTATAACGAGCTGTCAGAATGGATGGAAAACTAAACAACATATAGAAAGGACAGATTCAAGCTGACATCATACACAAAGAATCTTTCAAACAAATATTTCCTGAAAGATGCACAAGGAAATACAAAAACTAAACAACATACATATGATAACCAAATAAACAAAAGGAAAGAAAAAAAAAAGGACAAAAATGAGCATATAACAGATACAGACACTGTAGGTTACATGTTAATTAGAAGAACTAAAAGGAAACTCCTGATAGGAAACCAACAATGGTTGAAGGCCTTAACTAGGCCGATCTCATATCATACTTTAATACGTACCAGTTTGTATGTCACCAACAATGATATCTCATTGGGATATTTGGAATTTCAGCCAAGAATGACCCAAAAGAACTTATCGGTGAGATAATGCACAGAACATAATGGGGGTCAAAAAATATATATATATATAATGATGCGACAATTCTGGACAGGCTCCTGATGTAAGGAATAAGTGAAGCAATGGCAGTGAATGACAGAAATTTTCAGAGAAAGGCAGAGAGAAAAGAGAGAGAAGAGAGAAAGAGAGAGAATCCCAAAATTCTATAATTATGTGTCAAAATTTTTATTGAACTGTTATATACTTCGAATTATTTCAAAGTAAAAAAAAAAAAAAACTTATATTTTTAGAAAATAAATGTTAAGAAAAATTTATTTAGCAATAAATATTTTATAGTGAAAAGGTCAAATTGTTACAAATAATTTTATAATTTTAGGTTGTATTATGAAGTTATTTTGGAATTCACACGACTATATTTGATATTATAAACGTCTCCCTCATTTTTTGGGAGGTTTTCTAGTTAAATAATTCTAATTAAATAATCATCTTACAAACTTTTTGGCTTACATGATTTTTCCACTATCGGAAACATAGGTTTTAGCGAAGGTATAGAAAACCGTCCCGTCGCTGAAACCATGAAATAGCAACGGTTTTAATAAATCCGTCTCTATTGCCTTCTCAAAAGTGGGTATTTAGCAACGTTTTGTAAATTGTCCCTAATTTATTCACCTATGATTATTTTTAGTGTCGGTTATAACCAAACCATCGATAAAAGATAAATGTTTTTGGAATTACTAAGTGTTTACCTTAACCATCACTAATTCCAAAAAATATGGTTTGTTTGCGATAGTTTGTTTAAAATGGTCACTAAAAACCTTTTAATATGAGTGATTTTAGCGATGGTTAATGAAAATCGTCGCTAAATCCATAAAGTCGATAAGTCAATGGAAAAAAGGCATTTAGCGATGGTTTTTTTTATGAAAACTGTTGCTTAATAATGAAATTAATGACGGTTTATGAAACCGTTGTCATTTTTTTATCGTTGTCGTTGGAGGGAAAATGGGAAAATTTGAATATAGAAATGTTTTTAATGACGGTTTTAACGACGATTCAAAACTATCACTAAAAAATTAAATTCGTAAAATCTACTCGCTCAAAATTTTTTTCCCATTTCTTCTTTCTTTCTCTTCTTCTTTTTCTTTTAGTAGCAACTATAGCCCCACTTCCAAAAATAATTTTCCTTCCATTCACGGTTGGAACTCCCTCTAAATCTCCCATTTTCTCTTCTTTTCTTCTTCCCCTCCATCTCTTCCCTTTTCCTCCTCCTTTTTCTTCTTCTTTCTCTCCTTCCTTCCTCCTTCTCCCTTCCCTCTTTTTCTTCGATCACTATGCGGTGATAGTAGCTCTTCCACCTCTTCACCGTGAGTTGGCAGTAGCTCCTACCTTCTTCTTTACTCCTCAATTTGTGTAATTGGTAACTAATTAATTATTTTTTCATTTATTTTATATTTTTTTAATTAATTATTTGTTAATTGATAGTTAGTTTAATTTAATTTATTTTTATAGTTAATTTGTTACTCGTTGGAGGCAAAACGAATAAATTTGAATAGAGAAATGTTTTTAGGTTTTAGCAACGATTCAAAACTATCGTTAAAAAATTAAATTCGTAAAACCTCGTCGCTCGAATTTTTTTCCCATTCTTCTTTCTCTCTCTTCTTCTTCTTTTTCTAGTAGCAATTGTAGCTCCACTTCCAAAAATCATTTCCCCTCCATTCACGGTTGGAACTCCCTCCAAATCTCCCATTTTCTCTTCTTTTCTTCTTTCCTCCATCTCTTTCCTTTTCGTCCTCCCTTTTCTTCTTCTTTCTCTCCATCCCTCCTCCTCCTCCTCCTTTCCCTCCTCATCTTCGATCATAGTGCAGCGACAATAGCTCTTCCACCTCTTCATTGTGAGTTGACAGCAGCTCTTACCTCCTTCTCTACTCCATTTGTGTAATTGGTAACTAATTAAGTTTTTATTTCATTAATTTTATATTTTTTGTTTAATTAATTATTTTTTAATTGATAGTTAGTTTAATTTAGTTTATTTTTATAGTTAATTTGTTAGTAATTAATTAAATTAATTACGTGTTGAAAAAATTAATTAAGTGTTAGTTTATTTAATTATGTTGTTTAATTAATTATTTTTTAATTGTTAATTAGTTTATTTTTATGGTTAATTTGTTAGTTGTTAATTAAATTAAGCATAGTTGTTGTTTAATTAATTATTTCTTAATTGTTAGTTTAATTTAGCTTGTTTTTATAATTAATTTGTTAGTTGTTAATTAAATTAATTATTTTAAAAAAATTTAATTAAGTGTTAGTTTATTTAATAATGTGTTAATTAGTACTGTTAAAATTGTTAATTATATTAAGTTTATTTATTGGTAATTAAATCCTTTAATAGTTTTAAAAAATTTAATAGGTGTTAATTTAATTATTTATGCTTTAATAAATTGATTTACTAGTTAATTATAATAATTTTATTTGTGGCTGGTAAAATTATTTAATTTTTTTAAATTTAATTGTTTGCTACTTTAATTAAATAGGAGGTTAATTAAATTTTGAATATATTAAACTAATCCAATTAGTTGTTAATTAAATTATTTAAATATTTTTTAAGAAAATTGATTTTGTTTTAGTGTGATTAATTTGGTAGTTATTTAAGTTTTTTAGTTTTTAAAATAAGTAAATCAATTGTTAATTAAATTAATTATATTTTGTTAAAAAAATTAATTATGTATTAGTTTAATTAATTTGGTGATTAATTAAGTTTTTTAGTTTTTTAAATAAGTAAATTAGTTGCTAATTTACTTAATTATATTTTGTTAAAAAAATTAATTACATGTTAGGTTAAACAATTTGGTAGTTAATTAATTTTTTTAGTTTTTAAAATAAGTACATTAGTTCTTCATTAAATTAATTAAATTTATTTTAAAAATAACATTTACATTTTAGTTTAATTAATTTAGTAGTTAATTAATTTTTTAGTTTTTTAAAATAACTGAATTAATTTTTAATTAAATTAATTAAATTTAGTTTAAAATCTGTAGTTACGTGTTACTTTAATTAATTTAGTAGTTAATTAATTTTTTAAAATAAATAAATTAGTTGTTAATTAAATGAATAAATTTTAGTTTAAAATCTACAATTACATGTTAGTTTAATTAATTTAGTGGTTAATTAAGTTTTAAATTTGTTAAAATAATTGGATGAGTTATTAGCTAAATTAGTCAAATTTAGTTTAAAATCTACAATTACGTATTATTTTAATTAATCTAATAGTTAATTAATTTTTTAATTTGTTAAAATAATTAAATTAGTTGTTAATTAAATTAATTAAATTTAGTTTAAAATCTGCAATTACGTGTTAGTTTAATTAATATAGTAGTTAATTAAGTTTTTTATTTGTTAAAATAAGTAAATTAGCTATTGATTAAATTAATTATACTTTTTTTAAAAAAATTTAATTACATGTTAGTTTAAGCAATTTGGTAGTTAATTAAGTTTTTTAGTTTTCAAACTAAGTAAATTAATTATTGATTAAATTAATTAAATTTAGTTTAAAAATAACATTTACATTTTAGTTTAATTAATTTAGTAGTTAATTAAGTTTTTAATTTTTTAAAATAAGTAAATTAGTTTTTAATTAAATTAATTAAATTTAGTTTAAAATCTATAATTACGTGTTAGTTTAATTAATTTGGTAGTCAATTAAGTTTTTAATTTGTTAAAATAAGTAAATTAGTTGTTAATTAAATTAATAAAATTTAGTTTAAAATCTATAATTACATGTTAGTTTAATTAAGTCGCTAAAAGTGTTGCTAATTAACGATAGATTTAAAAAATTGTTGCTAAATTGTCCACATTTGGCAATGGATTTAACGACGGTTTAATAAAACAATTGCTAAATCCACAACCTCATTTCACTCGTTAAGCAACGGATTATAGCTATTTTAGCGACGGTTATTTCGTTGCTAATTTATCGATGGTATCCAAAAAACCATCGCTAATGATTTAGCGACAAGGTTTTTTTCGGATGATTTTTTATCATCGCTAATAAATATTAGCGACGGTTTTTGGGATTTAGCAACGGTTTAAGTTGTCGCTAAATCCCCTTATTTTGGTAGTGTTCTCTATAAAAATTCTTACAAATGAGCTTTTCGTTACAAAGCATGTTTAGTATCCTTAGTTATAAGACTCGTTTTTTATTAAATGTTAGATTGCCATTAATCTATGTGTCAATAAATCTTTTTCGAATACCACATGGACAATGAATTTACACACCATAACTAATAAGATGATTTTATTTTTCTTATTTAATATATATTTATTTTCAAAAATTTAATTGTATTGTTGCTAATTTGCTATACCTTAATTTTTCCAACAAACTTCATGGACATTGACCACCCTAGTGCTTGGAAAGTTGTGGCTACAATTTATTTTGGAAGACGTGTGAAACAATGGAAGCTATTTGTGCTTGCATTCTCATCCAATTTTGAAGCACTATTAACCCCAAGTAAATTTCTTCAAATAGCATTGCAATCACCTATTACCTTAAAAAAATTACTAGCATGAAATTATAAAACAAAGTAAGAAAGGGCATGAAAAACACATCAACTTGGACAAAATTCTTAGAAATGAGACACCGTTATGTTAAATTGTGGAGATTAATATGGATGAGAGCCCGTAGTATAAGGCTTTACACACGCTATAGTCTTTTTTATCATAATTCTAATTATTCACACTATAAATAGAGACAATATCACTTGTATTTTGTAAGTTGTCACTTGATAAAACCAAATAAGAAATTCTAGTGCGACGAATGAAGTAAGCACAATTACTCGAACCACGTAAATATTTATGTTGTGTGATTATTCTTGTCTTTCTTCTCTACTCTTTTGCTTGATTCATTTCCTAACACATTGAGTTTGAGCAACTGAATAATTAACAAGGCATAATGTAACACCCTTGACCTCACTAAGGCCAAGAATGCTACCGTAATGCCTTACACTCGAAGTGCAATAAATGCGAGACATTAAGCTTCATGTCCTCTACCTTATGTTATACACAACGCCACACATGTCTTCATGCATCATTTAACATACACACCACAAGACGGACTATGAGCTGAAAATCAATAAGTGTAATCATGCATGAATGAAAAGAAATACATTTTCATAATTTTAGAAAACATTTATATGATCGGACGCACCTTGTCGAATGTGTATATATTTGGCTCTTCATGAAAACCATGACTGTGAGAATCATGGAAAGTACTAGACATGTCTCGTGTGAATTCGATGACGTTCACAAAGAGTATACACCGGATCATTCCTTTTGTGAACCATGACTAAATATCTAGCCATTTTCTTGAAAACATGCACATTTCCTTTTTTTGTATGCATTGAAAACATGATGAAAACATTCTCGTGGCATGAATGCAATCTACATGCAAGACCTCCCATAAACATTTAACAAAGCATCATTAAGCATATCTTAAAATGAACGAGATAACCAAATATCCTTAAACATATTCATAAGCTGAACTCATCAACATCTCAAACATTCCATCACCAATTAAACACATAGCTCGATAACTTCATATAACCTTTACGAATTCACATCCATCCTGTAACCTCACATGTATTTAATTATCGGTTAAACATGTAAACACAATGTCACAAGCAATCAATCATTAATTCAAACATATAACACATCAAACCATAACAATCTTTAATAAATACTCGAACTCATCAATCCATAAACACATATTCCTATGACACCTATGTCTTGTAGCACGGTGAGACTACATTTAGCTAAAGCTCTCAAAGATTTCCCCTTTTCTTCCTTACTTTCCTCTTAGCCAAGGCTGCCCAAATCTCCTTCTCTCTCAACCACACTCCTTCTCTTTTCCTCTCGACCAAACTCTCCCTCTCATTTTCAGCCAAACTCTCTCACTCTTTCTCACAACCAAGCTTTACTTTTCTTTGGCCATTTTGATTTTCCTCCCTTATCTTCTCTCTTTTTGTTTCTATACTTTCTATCCCAAATATCCTAACACTCTTCTCTTTTTATAGGCCTTTTTGCCGACCTAAAAGGGACCTAGAATTCTCCCTCCTTTTCTACCTTTTTTGCCAACCTAGAAGCTTCTAGGAAACTCAAGATGTTTTCTTTCTATTTTCTTCCTCTTTGGTCGACTTTAGGAAGGTTCTAGGAAGCTAAATTTATCACATGTGTCAAAGGCTACTTATGCTTAGCTATTAAGGATGGAACACATAAGAATTAAGTATGAATACTTAAGGATAAGTATGGAATTCTTTAGAAGTTTCTAGACTAACCTAGACTAACACTTGTATAAAGTACTAATTAAGCTTTATTTTTAAGTTAACATGTGTATGAGATATTCAATTAACTTATATTTATATGTCTCCTAAGTTTGAACAACTTTATATATTAGTCTCTTTACTTTGTCACTTAGTCCACTTAAGTCCTCATTCTTTTAATTGTTACAATTAAGCACACCTAAAATACTTGATTTCATGCATTAGGAAAGCCACACATTCGTCAACTATTATCGCATGTCATGACCTAAAAACTTTCATCAACAAAAATATCTTGTCATAGCTTGACACTTTTCGTCAATGTAAGCACACAATACGATATTCACATACTTAACAAAATAAAAGCACACATATGCAAAGAAATGTTTGGATCCGAGGTATTACATATAAGGTTAGAAATGATTATCAAGAAACCTTGATTGAAATTATGGCTAGTTGAAATCCAATAATTTTTAATCATCATATGAAAATGAAACCGTAAATGATCTTCGAGACTTGGCATGTGCGAGCTCTACAATGAATTGATATCTCAACTCCTTTGATTTTTTTGTCAAGCAAACTTCCAAATAGAAAGATAATGAATTGGTGTACCCTTTCACCCAACAAGTAGACTCTTCCCATCGATATTAATTGTGCAAGCTTTTCCACAAGCCAATTTCTTAGCCATTAGGTTTGCTTGGTACATAGATGACATGCTCATTTTTGTCTCCACCATCAAAAAACGCAGGAAGAATGCTTTCAGACATCAATCTTCACGTTCCGAATGTTCCTTTCCTCTTCCTTGGTGGCTAAAATTTTCCTAATTCCTTCATCAAAGAATATTGATTCTGCAAACATCCTATTTAGATCATCTTGTTCCATACAAGTTTCAAGACAATCAAAATATGCACTCGAGGTAGAAAAGAGTTTCAATAAATTGGTTCACGAAAGCCGGTGAGTTGTGATTTGCCTCAACTTTTATGATTACCATTACACATGGATTGATGTTTCGATCACTTTCATTAAGGAACCTAGCCGATTCGGTGGTGTAATCGAGCTTGTAAGGAAAAATTTTGAAAATACAACCATAGTTTCCTTAGAGTCTAGCTCAAAGTGAACTTCTTTGAGATCCCGAATGTCTAATACCATAACCACCTTATAAGAAAAAGGTAGGTTCATTGTCCGAGCAAAACTCAATAACATGTCACCTGTATCCTCCATCAATTGCTTTGAAGTAGTCCCAACAATAGTTATCTTGAGCGACTCAATGGGCCACTCATCTCGAGAAACCAAAGCTTGCATGAAGATTGTCCATTGCGGTCCATTCCCGATTTGAAGATCAATTATGTGAATTCTCTTTGTCTTGCCCATAGTTTCTAAAATGGTTTGGATTTTAGCAAAGTGTGAAACCCGAGAGAAGGGATTTTTTTCATAAAATGCCATGATACGAGGGTTGGAGCCATTATTGCCTCATAGATACTCGAATGACTCGCTCTTTTCGAAGCTCTTTGACATGGCTTTTTTGATTTCTTGGCTTATTCTCTCCCGAAGAGCTTTGGAAAAATAGTAAACTAATCTTTGAACTGAATTTTCAGTGTTAGAAGACAAGTAATCACACAAGTCCACAATCTGTTTGCACTCTGTCAAAATGTTGATTGCCTACTTTCTCGGTAGAAGCCAAAAGAAGTTCGGCGGGTTCCACATTTTTAGCCTCGTCGGTAGAAAGGTTGGAGAAAGAAAGATCTAAAGGATGAATGAAGTCAACATCGATAGTTTTGAAAGACTAGATAAACCTTGCTTCAACGAATCTTAATGATTTCTTCGGTTGATAAATATTCTCGCTTTACTATCTTCGTGGATGATTTATCATTGCTTGGCTCAAATTGTCTTTCGTTGTTCAATCGCTTGACACTATCGGCATGATTTGGTAACGAGTTTAGGTAAAGCCGATGAACATTGGAGTTGCTTTTCCTTGGGTTCAATAAGGTCTCTCATTCCATTTCTAATTTCATCGAGTTTAGTGATTTCCTCCGAACATGTTTCATATGGTGGAGACACATTGAAAATTAGGGGATCGGTGCTCCACTCTCCCCATTCTTCATCGACTCTACGAAATGAATTCCTTGTGTGTTCTCTCCTTTCTTGATCTCAAAACTTGTATATGTTGAATTGGAATCATCCGGAATGCTATCGAAATAGAATTCGTCAAGAGTTAACTTTTCACTCTCCATCTCAAATTTCAAACAAGCTCACGATTTGATTTCTAAGTGACAATCGATGTTCAATAATAGCTTTATAAGTGGAGATAGATCTAGGCATAATTGGACTAGAAGAATTGTATTTTGACATATTCAAACACCTAATTAAAATCATCAAATACGATCGACTTAATGTTGATGGAATCAAGGCTGCTATACATCAACTCTTACAAGGTCGAAACGGTGACTAGAAACTAAACACTATATGGAATGGCCGAAATCATAATCTAAGAATGTTTCAAGAAAAAATTTGCTTTAGGATTAACTATTGTAGGAAGTTTACGGTATATATGTATGAAAGAAGAAGAAGATAGACAAAAAATGAAAAGAAACTTTATTTTTCATTACTGCAGAGACATATTTATACTGATACAAAAGTATAAGTCAATACCAAATTTTCATAATTTAAGGAAATTTGTTCCCTTGTCCGAAGCTAAAATTAAGTTCCACCATAAGTCATTCAAACTTCTAGTACATTGATTAATTGTATTACAAAATATTCAAAAACAAAAGGAACAAAATCGGTGCATGACTTTGTATCGGTACATGATCATGAACTATAAGCTTCATCACTCCTCCTTGATGCAAGAGCTATGCATAACACCAAGCTTGCCTCTAAGTTCTTCAAATCTGTTCTTCTACGAGTCCTTGGTGAAAATATCAACGACTTGTTCCTTTGCTCGAACAATGCAACAACATAACTTCACCTTTCTTCTCTCGCTTCTCTAATAGCATTTTAATGTGCTTAGTTTTTCCATGAAAAATGAGATTTTTAACCATTGCAACAGCAGACTTATTATCACACAAAATCATTGTAGCAACTTCTTACTTAAACTTCAAATCACTCATCATTTTTCCTCAACCATAAGCCTTGATTAATAGTAGCGAGATGCGACCATATATTCCGTCTCGGTAATAGACGAGCAACAAAACCTTGATTCCTTGAACACCAACATATAACACCCGATCCAAGTGTAAAACAATAGCTCGAGGTGCTTTTTGAATCTTCAAGTGATTCAGCCTAATCACTATCGGTGAATCCAAGTAATTTCAAGGTCGAACTCTTCCTAAACAACACACCATATGAAATTGTACCACGAATATACCTCGGGACCCTTTTCGTTGCTTTGAGATGATTTTCGGTTGGCATGTGCATATATCTTGACAGAATGCTGGTTTCATACATTATATCCGCTCTTGTGATTGACAAATATAGTAATGAGCCAACAAGACTCCCGAAGATTGAAGGATCAACGGATCGTCGAACCATCATTTGCTTGTAACTTCAATCCTTGAACTGCTAGAAGTGTTGACAACTTTGCAACCAATTAGAGAAAACTTCTTTAATAATTTTATGGCATATTTTCTTTGAGAAATAAAAGTGTCCGTTAAAACTTGAGAAACTTCCATTCCTAGAAATTAACACATCTTCCCCAAATTATTCATCTCAAACATGCCCTCCATTTGCTTTCTAAACTCTTTCACGGAGTTTAGATTGCTTCCAAAGACAAGGATATCATCAACATAGATTGAAACAATTAGAATTTTAGCATACACTTGTTTTACATACGGTGTTGTTTCATTGATGCTCATTTCAAATCCCAAGTCAAGCAAGTAGCCATCAATCTTTGCATACCAAGCTCTAAGGGCTTGTTTTAAACCATATAGTGCCTTTTTCAAGCAAATAAACTTTATCGGTAGCATTTTTAATAACAAAACCCTCGGGTTGCTCAATGTAAATTTTCTCCTCAAGAACACCATTAAGGAATACTGATTTAACATCAAGTTGATAGACTCTCCAGACCTTTATGAGTAGCGAGGGCAAGAAATAATCTGATTGTATCGAATTTAGCTACATGAGCAAAGGTTTCAGTGAAGTCAATACCTTGCTTGTTAAGAGTAGCCTTTCACAACTAATCTAGCCTTGTATTTGCTAATTGAGCCATCCAGATTCACCTTCACTTTGAACACCTACTTTGTACTAATTACTTGTTGATTTTTTGGTCCGTCAACAAGTAACCAAGTGTCATTTTTAACAATCATATTGAATTCTTCCTCCATGGTCGCTTTTCATTTTGGAGATTGCAAAACTCGATCAACTTATACAAGTTCAAATATAGCTACATTGCATCCGTTATAGATATCTTGTAGAGTTCGGTGCCTCTCACATTATGATGTTCATCATCGAATCCTCCTCCTCGAAGTCTCATTATGAAGCTAGGGTGTATTTTCGGCATTAATGCTTTGATTTGAGAACTCTCTAATCATTTTCTCCCAATTCTAGACACCATTTTCATCAAATTTTATACTCCTACTCACATAAACCTTCTTAGTTATGGGATTTAAAATTCGATATCCTTTTGAAACGAGTGTTATAACCGACAAAGACACCAACTTCAACCCTTTGATCAAGCTTGTCTCTCTTTGCATCGGGAACATAAGCATAACAAGTGCTTCCAAAAACCTTCAAATGAGCCATCGATGGTTTGACACCTGTCCGAGCTTCATAAGGTGTTTTACCATCAATAGCTTTAGTTGGAAGTCTATTTTGAAGATAGCCAACGAGTGTTTATAGCCTCTCGCTCACAACTTCTTTGATAAACCTTTTTCAAACAAGAAGCACCTTGCCATGGTCATGACTAATCTGTTCTTCCTTTCACATACACCATTTTGCTAAGGTGTATAAGTGATTGTGAGTTGATGATGAATACCGCCTTTTGAAGAAATGACTGAAATTGAGAAGAGACATATTCGATGCCATTGTCGGACCTCGAGGTCTTGATGATATGAGCACCATGTTTTTTTACGACGAGTCTTAAATCTTTGAAACATAGGAAACACTTCGATTTGTTTTTGAGAAAATAAACTTAGCAATATCTTAAAAATTCATCAATAAATAAAAGAAAATATTTACTCGTCATTGTCGAAGGTATGTTCATGGGTCCACATACATATGTATGAACCAGCTGGAGCTTTTCGGTTGCTCTCTAAGCTTGTTTTGCAGGAAATGGAGTTTTGCTTAACTTACCAAGTTGATAGGTACCACATACATTAGAAATCCCAGTCACAGTAGGTAAATCATCCACAATTTTACTCCTTTCAAGCAACTTCGAGCATCATAATTTATGTGACCCAACCTCTTATGCCACAAACAAGAGTTAAATTCAATACTAACAAAAGCTTCAACTTCATCATGTTTCCACTCAATATTAAAGCTTATGTTGTGCATTTTAATGGATAGAAGCTTTATACCGTAAGGATCAATAATTTCACAGAATTTGTTCTTGAATTTAACCGAGTAATTCTTATCTAAAAGCTAACCAACACTTAATAAATTGTGTTGAATATCGAGCATAAACGGAACATCGGAGATTAGCTTTGTACTTGATAAAGTTTGCACGTACACAACACCTTTGCCTGTGACATCTACTAGTCTCCCATCACCAAGCCTTACTTTGGAAGAATATGTTTTGTCTAAAGTTTTAAAAATTTCTAAATTTGCTGACATATGATGAGTACAACCACTGTCGATCATCCAAGCATTAATGCTTTGAGTTGCAACTAAACATTCAGCAGCAACAACAAAAAGTTTCTCCTCCCGACCTTCAAGTCCTTTAGTGACTTGTGCAAGCTGAGCTTGATTTTGTTGACCACCATTTCTCGGACAAACCCTTTCAACATGTCCAAACCGCTTACATGCTTTGCATTGAACCCCGTGTTTATACCGGTAATAATTTTTAGTGTGGTTTGTCTTCTTGCAATGAAGACAATGTGGATACTTGCCTCTCATGTTCCTTCTCATGTTGCTTTGATTTAATTTTTTATCTTTACCTCTCTTTGAATGAGAGCCTCTCTTTGCATCATCAGTCCGTATTTTTGCTCTTTGAGATGCAAAAAGTGCATTTTCGATTAAGCCTTCTTCTTCTCCAAATGCTTTTTTTTGTTCAACGACATGTAGAGCACTTACAAGCTCTGTGAGAGAAAGCCGAGATAAATCCTGAGCATCTTCAAGTGAAGAGATTTTTGCCTCAAATCTTTCCGGAAAAGTTACAATTACCTTCTCCACAACTCTTCTTTCGGTAAGTCCTCACCTAACAACTTTACTTGATTAAC